ATCATTATTCAGCGCACTATCATTTCGAGAAAGACTCGACTGCGTAGCAGCTGTTTCAATTCCTTTTCCAGGCGGACTGATAAAACAAGCGAGCGAGTAAGCGGGCGAGCGAGAGAAACGCTTGCTACCCAGGCTACTTAGCTTTTCGTTGTGTGAGATATGTGTAGAACTGAAGATTACCCACCACAATATTACGAAACATTTGAACAAATCTGGCACTGATTCTTTTCTTTTACGTCAAGATTTTATCAAATTTCCGCTCTCAAGTGGAAGCAGGTCAGTGACTGAGTTCAGACAACTGCGCCTGTCAACACACTAATCCGTCACGAAAACGGAACTTCTCGAAAACGCTCTTCAAACTGGTTTAATTTTGAAGACGAAACTTTTCGAAAACAATGACGTTACGATAATCATGATATTTCGCTGCCCGAATTTTCCTCAAACACATCACCTTTTAATAGTGTGGTCGCCTCTACAGTGCGTGACAATGCGTGACAATGCGTGACGAAACGTGACGGATCATTGAACCGTAGAGGCAGAGCAGGAAAACAAAACGTGACGCGGGTAATTATTTTGGCTGGATCGTTGTGAAACAATGCGTCATATCTTTGGTAATTGACAGAAATTTCTTTTTGAGTAATTGGGAGTAATCCTCTGCCCGTATTTAATTTGACGTTGGCTATAAAGCTCAACTCGATACACGACCGAGCTCCAGGCGAAGGCATACAAAATGTCGCAATACGCCGGTGGATATCCGTCGAGCGATTTGAGCCGTGGAATGACTCTGAGAAATGCTAGCGAAAATCGAAGGCTTGTTGGTCATCTTCAACATCTTGATCTGCAGCTCCATCAGAATCTTGTGAATATGCAAGCAGAGATTATGCACTTGAAACTCTCGCGCAACGGAATGCAACACTCACGAATACGGCGACCCAACACAACAATGGGAAAGAATCTAACTGATCCTAGACACGTGCAAGAAAGGCAGCTTCGCGCGGCTGTTAGGATCTCACCTCTTGCTGTACAGGGCAGCAAAAGAGAAATTTCAAAGCCGTTTTTACCACAAATTAGCACAAAACAAACTGCTTTGGTTGGCAAACGAGCGGAAGGTGTCGAAACGAGACCTAACTCCTCAAGGCATCCCGGCAGTCCCCGACGATTTCGGGAACTATCGACCGATGGCGCTAATCCTTTGTCCACTAACACTACAAGTAATCTATACAGACCGAGGTCCACGCCAGACTTATGCATATCGCCAGCAAAATCAGAAAGCAGGCCAGCTACAAGCAAACCAATGTCTGACTCTGTCGCGGATGGGGGAAGCACTCGTTCTCTTGATAAAACCACTTCGCGAAGCCGAAGTTCCGAAGTTATATCGCAGCCCTCCTTGGAGTTAAGTGACCGAGTTACTGATTTCTTAAAGAGACCTAACACCAGCTCAGGGGAGCGAATCAAAGAGGGGGAAAATGAACAAAAGCAGTCTGAAAAATGCGTGGTGCCCACGATAAATGTCGAAGATCAAGAACAATCTAACGAAGAAATTGAAGAAAACCCTGACGAGAGCACACAAGCAGTCAATGAGGGCGACAAAGGTTATCTGCTAGACGCAGAACTGTTTCGAAACTCTCTTCTCTTAAAAGCTAGTCGAGATGATGACTTTTCTAGATCTATGCCGGATTTATCGAGTCTGGGATTCATGGACTTTAATGAAGTTATTGATCAGCGTCTTCGAAAAGTCAAAGAGGAGATTCCTTCTGAAGAAGAAATGAGAAAAATTCGTTATCTTAGATTTCGGGACGAGCCAGCACCCCTTCCTATTTTATCAGTCTTTGAGAAAGAGAATATTCAAGAACTGGATAAAATTAACGAGTAGAAATTAAATTTTGATAAATGAGTAGGAGACCTATAAAAGATTTAACAATGGCTACAAGTTTATAAGCCGTTACGGTATCAGACACTTGTCTTATGGACAAGCAATAAACCCTCCTCATAGGTGACAGGACGCTTTACTATACGGTATGCAAGCAATATTTTGGTGTCTAATTCCTTTTACTATTGCATGCTAAGTCTTTGTTATTGTGTTTTGACAGGGCTGGCTTACCTACCTACTTAGAACAACATAATAGAGAACCTCGGCGTCTTTGTGAACCACAAAAGAAGAAATTGAAGTTTTAATACTAAGCGTTGTTTTTACATTAGCGCGTCTTATTCTTGGAGGTCATTGAAACCTAAGAATTCTCTTCTTCAGGCAAGTGTGAGTAGACATGACGTAACAAAAATTGCATACTTTATAAACCATACTTTCACACTGTTCTTCTTCAGCTTCTTTGGTCCATGAATTACTTTTGTCAAGTAGGAACAAAACAATTTCCTTGACGACTTCGGAATTTTCGAAAAAATGTCGAAAACTCTTTGTGTTGTTTTCTTTTTGGCTGAACTCGTTAAGTTCTGCCCAGTCGCACGAATCACTGAGATTTTTGAAAAAAAATCGTGAAGAATTTGAAAACAGCGTTGTTTTTTTGTGTGTTCCTAAAATATTTACGTATTCTTTAATTTCTACTTGAGCATATAGTTTCACGCTAGAGGGGAGAGCTTTGTTTTAGTAAGAGAAATAAACAAACAATTTATCACAGGAACCAATCTTTATTATCCAAATGTTTATAAGTCTGGCACGATGTGAATACTATGACGTCAAACAAGGTCACTGATGTTATTAGACAGTTTGCGGTCCTTTGTCAATGAAAATCCAGGTTATTACCGGGTACATTGTAGAAATAAACACTGTAAAGGGTTTTGTGTGGCTTGCAACTTAGCAAGCTTATATTTGGGAGAATTTATGAGCGGCCTAAAAGCATTTGGAAACGGAAGAATGTCTCATTTGCTGTGCACAGAATTCTGTAACGGACTTAGTTCACTTTCTCCTCCGATCCGAAGAGCTGCCTTGACCGTGGCCTGCAATCGCAGACGTATTTCCGGCTCCGCGGACAAGCGACAACTGGAAATACGTCTGCGTTCGCAGGCCTGACCTTGACTGTGTCAGCCAGCAGTTCAGGGGTTGGGGAGAGGGGAAGGAGAACGCGCGGGAAACGCTTCTCGTCCTCCTTTTCACACCTAACAGACCTGGTGGGACCCGACCCAGTGGATTACTTTGCCCTCCCTGGTAGAAATTTGATTCTATAGTTATATCAAGATTACGTAGAAAACAAGTATAAAAATGACGATCAATCTGCCGAACGTATTTGACAAAAATTGTCGTTTTAGAACACTAGAAATGGCGTTTAGAGTATCACAAAACAACCAAAAAATAAACATAAGTAAACACTGAACCTTTCAAACCCATGTCACCCAATTCATGGTGGTGTGTGACAATTTTGCCGCACATCACCAGTGGTGACAATCTCCTAATTTGTCTTAATTTCTTGCAGATGATTCTGTATGATACAACTCCACCTTAGGGAGTTGTAGGTATTGGTTATTTGTGAAATGCGTGATAAGTCTTCCACTCGTGCCTTGTGGACTGAGAACAATGAACCATGGTGACTGTACCATTATGGTTATGGTAGCACTGTGGTTTTACTGTCTTTTTTTCAGACAAGATCCAGTCTTAATAGTTAGTTTTAATTAATTAATAATTATTATTAGTTTTGGGATTTAAGAAGAAACTTCTAAGAAATGTTAACATTTTGAGATTTAAGAGATTGACATTGTAGTTTAAATATCAATGGTTATAATATTGATTTTTCAATTCTTACCGCTAAACTGTAATCAGGCATACATCTATCTGCAATAATTTTCAAAGATGTTAGAGACAAAGAAACCATGGGGCTTCTGCCTGAGTTAAGAGACATATTTAACCAACAGATGTTAGGAGAAATTAAAGCTAAGCTGGCTATTCCAACCTACTGTATATAGATTTGGTTTCTTACTGAAATTTATGAGAAAACGTGCAGTCTGTATGGTCACGTAGTTAGCTTTTAGTCCACTCTCTAGTCCAATGGAAGGCACTTAAAAACTGCTAGTAATGAAACCAAAGGTGATAGTCATGTATATTGCAGCATTGCGCAGTGGTTAAATGCTGATTTAAAACTTCCTGAATGGATGTTACATAGCCATTTTGCTACTCAAATCAAATATTAACCTTTGTTTGTGGGTGCTGTGTAGTAATGTAGATGGTGCAAGTACATTTACTATTACGTCTTTAAATTTATTTAAATAAAATTGTCAGGGTGCGTTATAGTAATCTTGATTTCAGCTTGTTATTCTTGCCAAAAATCTCATATCATTTTGTACAAGCAACCACCTGCTTAATTCAACAGTACTGTAGCACAACATTGCAGTGGAAAATGTTTCACTTTAACATGCGTGATATAGCTTTGTCTTAAAAGTTTCTCCCATCAAGTGATCACCTGCACATCTATCATGATTTGAACCTTAAGCAAGAAGATCTTGAGATTTTTTTGTATTTTCAAGATTTTTTTTGTCTTTTAAGAAAATACGTTACACAAACATATATATAATTGATCTAAAAACAAACACTAATACACTTGAAATCAATATTATGTCAATATGTACATGAAAGGAGATCTTGATGTGCTTCTGAGTTGAAGAATACGTATCATATCCCAGGTATGTAACTTTTCAGAAATAACCATTCCTCTTGAGTGCGTCCGTTGAGGTATCAATGGTAACTTAATGGTTAGTGTGCTGGAATCTGGATCGAGCAGTCCAGGTTTGAGGCAAAATGAGCTGAGGCCAGGGATGTCCCGTCCCGTCCCGTCCCGTCCCGTCTCGTCTCATCTCATCTTATCCTATCTTAATTACTGGCCGAGATATCAATGCGAAAATATAACATTAATCTTAGAATACATCTCAGAGATAGATGCGTNGTCCTGTCCCGTCCTGTCCTGTCCTGTCCTGTCCTGTCCTGTCCTTAGGCAAGAAACTTTACTCTCACAGTGCCTCTCTCCACTCAGGTGTATAAATGGGTACGGGCCAGTTTAGTGCTGGGGAGAAGGGGGGTTACCCTCTGATAGATGAGCATCCCAATCAGGGGGGAGGAGAAATAATCCTGACCACTTAAAGTTGTGGAAACTGAGCAGGGTTCGTACAGCCCCTGGAAAACCTGGAAAGTCCTGGAATTTTACTGTGGCATTTTCCAGGACTGAAAAGTCCTGGAAAAAGGCAACTGGTCCTGGAAAGTGCTGGAAATCTGTTAAACGCAATTAAAAGATATGAAATGTACGGCAGACAGTAACGAGAATTAAAATTGAGGTCTTGGGAGTGAAGGGGTTAGTGTGAATTTTACAGTCCTGGAAAAATCAATCCGAGTCCTGGAAAAGTCCTGGAAATTTGCTTCTGAAAAAGGGTACAAACCCAGACTGAGTTAGGCTTCAGCGGTATGGACCACTTGTCCCGACACAGACTTTTATCTTGAGTTCATCCACAATTGAATGAGCATTCGGGCAACAACTTTGTTTTTTAATGTTATTTTTAATATTATTAGCTAATTAAAAGATACTCATGGAGTACAACATATTCTCTGGTTACTGCACCAGTTACAGGCCATGTTCGTTATGACATGTAGTTAATACTATTAGTAATCAGAGATTATNTCTGTGACGTTTAATTGAATTTTAATGAGAACATGGATTGAACACGATCACGCCAGCGCCACTTATCACAAAGTGGCCAGCCAAGCTACCAATCCATCTCGGTATGGATTGTTTGCCAGAAATAGTCATTTTACAAGTATTTTCTTTCCTACCAGTAGCGGACTTGGGAAGGGCTGCCAAGGTTTGCAATGACTGGCGGAGACTGGCGTACGACCACTCGCTGTGGAAGCGGGTCAACATAAAGAGACAAGCTGCTAAACTTGACGAAGACACCTTGCACATGCTTATAAGGACAAGGTTTTCTCATTCCCTTTCAATACTTCACTTGGGTGGCTGTAAAATTTCGCTCGAGCTGCTAAGTGAACTGAACAGAAAATGCAAAAGTTTGAAATATTTGATATTTAGCCGTGGGTCAAAACTCCGACCGCCGACTCCACCTCCGAAGTACTCTGAAGTTACATATGAATTCCCTTCCCAGCTGGAATTGGTGGAATTGAGGCCGATCAAAGGAGATTTCGCCTTCCTGGGACGGATATCAAGGCACTTCTGCGAAGTAAAATACTTGGGTGTTGGAAATAACTCTTCGAAGGGCGCGGTTCCCTCAATGTTTACCAAGATGCAAAGACTGGTTATCCTGGACTGTACGAACTGCGATACAATTACAGACGATGTTATTGGTAAAGTCGCCGAATGCTGCCCGCTCCTAGAATCACTTTGCTTAAACGGATGCAAATACGTCTACGGACGGACCTTTTGTACGCTGTTCCGATCGTGTTCTCGGCTGCGTACGATTCTCCTCCGCTACACGCCAGTGCGAGATGACTGTTTCGTGATCCCTGAGTGGAAGTACGTTCCTGTAGAGGAATTGGATATTTCTGCGTGTTCAAACATAACACAGATAGGCCTCATTAGCCTCGTCACTCACGCCAAGACTCTGAGGTATCTCAATTTGTCCTACTGCGGCGTGGGTCGCGCGGTTACAGACTCGGTTTTACTGCAAATGGCGCGACTCGACACCGGGACTAACTTAGAAATGTTGGACGTGCGGTGGAGTTTAACTCTGACTCCAGAAGCATTGTATATTTTGTCCCGATCCTGCCCTAAGCTGAAATGCTTAGGAGTGTATCAGTCTTCAAGCATCAACCCATCAGCCATGGCAGAGGTCTTAAGAATGCTTCCCAAGCTAGAGGTTCTGGAATACGGAGCGTTTGGTAAAGCCAGTATCTCCGAAAGCATGTTTTTTCCGAACCTCATTCGCCATTGTGAATCTCTCGAGGCGGTGTCCCTCATAAACTTTGCTTCAATGGACTCGGTTGCGGACGCCGTGTTGATGAACGCGCTGGTCGAGAACTGCCGTTGTCTTAAACGTATAAATCTTTGTGAGCCAGATCCGACATTACTCGATTTAGTGCAAGAATTACCTCCATCCTCCAGGGCAAAGGTGACGCAAAGATGGCAGTGTGTTCTACCGCCACCAGATCACACTCTAGATGCTATTATCGCCAGATTAAAATACAATCCTCCACATCCTCCTCATCCTTAGCGCTATAATTTCAAAGACGCTGCAAAAATGAATTTTACATATGCAATCTTAAATACTTTATTCGTTTATGTGCGCTGGTTTTTTTGTGTTACTATAGACCAGAGTCATTGCAAAAATACCATGGACATTTCTCTACTGAAACGTGAAAGATTTTTTATTCAGACAATTCATTACAGAATCCATGAATATCATGGTGTTACCTGTAAAGTTATCAATTTTCACTCTCAACTTCATTCACATTCGCATTCACATTCGCTTCTGGTCGATTTTAAGTCGTTGTTAGTTAGGCGAAGTTATCATTTTTGAATTCATTTGCAACTGGACTGAGTGGATTTCTGGAGTTAACACTAAATGAAGAGAATTCATTGCATATGAGTATTTTCAGTTAGGAATCATTTTTTTTATGTGCATCACTGTAATAAAATGGCAGTTTGTTCTTTGAGCTTTGTTAACAGTCTTTAGAAGTTCTTGTTTTCTTATAAAAATTCTGTTGCAAGCTTAAAGAGGGCAGACACTTTAATCGGTAGTGCGGTGTGTCGAGCTATGTATAGTGAGATAGGGAGCTTAGTCCATACAGTTTCACCAACCCTTTCCCCTCCCCAAAGTGTACCCTTTTAAGCTTTTAAAAATCTGCATTTCGCACCAGCAGTGCAAATCAAGAGTCTAGGGAGGGGTTGGGTCGAGAATCGAGCCGACGTTCGTCACTGTCTGAGAGGGCGCGGTTACAGTGGTCTTACAAGTCATACAAAGCCCGCCTTCCTGGACAAAATTTGTCTATAACGTAAGAAATAACAGGGATGTTTAGAACGCAGACAATTTAAAACGTTTGCGCTTTCCTAAATTTTTATTGTACTTACCAAACAACAAACAATGTCATATATAGTATGTACGTCCTTGCACAAAAAATAAGGATAAATAATGTACACAAAACTATCAATTACAAATTTCGACACGGTTTTGAAATGATATCACTTAACTATCGAGCCTGATTTTAAAAAGAGGAGGAAACAAAGAAGCTGTAGTTAAGGGGATGTGTCTTATAACAATGATTTCTGACGCAAATTAATGGTTTAAAAATATCCACTAATTATTTGAAAGACCTAGGCATCTGTAATGATCCTAATTAATTTGGTTTGCGATTACAATATAATCCTGTATAAATAACGATTTCTCAATAACGTGTGTAAATAGAAGCCGATAATTTCTTTGAAAAGTACTTAATGATAGAGAAGCAATGAAAATTAACGAGATATAGGAACCAAACTATGTAAATGCATATATCCTTACATGAATTCAAGATGCAAGTCTTTCAGTATAAGGTGTAATGAAATGGCTTATCAATTATGAATGAGATGTCGACAAAAACTACATAAATCATGAAATAATTCACGAACAAAGCCGGTGAAGCTTTGCTATGTTCGCTCCCAAATTACCAAAAAGCAAAGGTTTTTTTAGAAGAGTTTCTTTGCCGACTGAAAATACTTTCAACATTGATAATGTTTTCTCGAACTGCGACTTGAGGCGGTTTGGGATCAGTGTACAATCATCTTCGCGATGGATTCTTCCGGAACTTCTTTCACTGGCGCATGTTTTAATAGTTTCTTCGCAAATTGCTGTAGAGTCTCATGTTGCTTGTGTTGCCGAAAATGTACGTTCTGCTGGAGAGGGTTGTGTTACCGAGACGAATTCCTCTTAGAAAAGTAAGTTGAAATTAAATCTAAATGTGATTACTTTTAGTTGAATAAATTGCTATCATGCTATTGTGATAATATTAGTTTAACAGTTTTAAAACCCAAACGAAATACGTTTAAATTGGAACGCGAAATATTTAATCAGAGTAAATCGTTTGCCAAGTAATTTTACGTGAAGAGTTTTAGTTTGCGATTTTATCTACATTTTACGATAGTTTGGTCTGTGGTATGTTATGACTTAAGAAATTCTTCCATGTATGTGTGAAGGATGACTAGATCAAATAAATAATTTAATCAAATCGCTTCTTTCGGAAATTTCTAACGAAACACACGGCGAAAAATAAAATAACCTAAAGGTAATAAAAAACTTAAAGAAAGATAATTCGCTTTGGGTGCTTTTCAAATCGTGGGTTTAAGGTTTAAACTTGCTTATTGTTTTTAAAAAGGTGGGAAGAAAATTGCCATTGGTGCACAGTGACAACGTAAAAAACTTAACAATCAACAATTCCTTAGATTCGTAGAATTTTTTCTCGTTCACAGTTTTTATGAAGAAATTTCACCTCAAGAGTGGAACATGATTGAAAAGGAGGCTAGGAAGGTAAAAGGTGAGTTCAACGGGAGTTTCAACTAGTATAAGACATAGAACTGCTAGCCTTCCACCCGGGAGGGACTCGCACATGAGAAGGACAGGAGTGCTTGTCGTACCTTTTAGGGGTTAAAAAAACGGTCTTGATACCTCTTGGGGTGTTCAGCCGCAAAAGGTCCACAGCGGGAGTTTTTGCGGTACGTTTTAGGGTATTGAGCCGGAAAAATATGACAGGAGATAACGTGTTGTAAAGAATTGCTACCACTTAAGGGTGAAAGAAACTTTAAGCCGCGCCCACAAAACAGGATCTTGGTACCTCCTAGGGGTTCTTGACAAAATTCCCACGAGCAGCCCCGTCATTTTTATATGGGAGTCCGCTTCCAGGAGCCTTCCATTGGATGTTAGTATTCTTTCTTAATAATCAAAACGACTAGAAAACCATTTCGAAAGAATTTATTATTCTAAAAACCGATATGTTGTACTTTCTAGGCGACCTGGGGGAGAAAATTGTTTTGGTGGAGACAAATGTTTTGCCGTCTTTCCGAGAACATGTCGCCACCGCAAGCGAGAAGGAGATAACCAAGCCTTCGCGGACATTGGTGGATTATCGGGCAAGCGACTTCATCAATGACGAGGAAAGCCATGAAGCTAAGTCTTCCAAGGAGCGCTTAAACACAAAAAAAATTCGATCGTACACTGAGACGGATTTCATGGCCGAGATGTGGAAAAATCCTAGCAAGACGAAGCCTTTGAGCGGGATATTTCGGAAAAGAAAATATTCGCGTTTTACGAACGAACGTGATGAGGAAGGTTCTTCCGGGGACGAGTACCCGCAAGTCAAGTCAAAATTAAATTTGCGGACTAAAATTCTCACGAGGAGGAGTCAACGCCAAAGAGATGAACTAGAAGTTGCCGAGAATGGAACTAGAAGTTTATCTCCTTCATCCATGTTTAACGATTATCATGGACAGATTGAAGCTAGCTTCTCTTTTGCAGCGCACGTGCGGAGGCAAGGTCCCGGATTTTCAGCTAGTTGTACCCAGACCTTGCGCACAGGTGACCTGTGCTCTCTCAGCGACTTGTTTGAAAGCGAGGTTCACAGCAACGTTACTTTTAACCCTCTCTTCGAGGACGACGACGGCGAAGACGAAGAATACGTCAAACGAACGCGACCGAGGAGGTATCGATTGTACACTATCGACGAGGAATCGGAATATTACGATTCGGGCCCATGATTTTCGCCTGGAAAAACTTATGGGGCAAGTGACAGATAAGCAAAACCGATATGGAAGTAAAAAAATGATCGAATGCCCGTCAAATCTAAATATTAACGTTGAGTTGAAGACTTGTACATGAAGTTTATGTGCAGCATGAAAGTTGATTGCCCGCAAAATTTCCGATTCCAATCCTCAGTCTACCTTTGTTTTATAAAGCGTTTCCACCAGGAGCCCTGTTTCCACTTATCACGTCAATAGCAACCATATAAATTTATTGGAAGAAAGGAAGGTGTTTGCGTAAGAAAAGAATTAAACTCCCACAGGATTGGTTTGGTACACCAGCGAAGCCGCCTTTACATTGTTCCGGGACACCGAAATGGCTGCCGTGACGTCATGTAAAAACGGTCTTTTTGTTGCCTCGGAAATTACTGCTGTCTCCATTGTAGGTCCGCAGGTGTGCTTAAGTATTCATCATGCAAAGAGTTTTTGTTTCCCTTGATCAGCGGCGTTTTGTCAGTTCTGCGACGGTCGCTTTAACTTTCCCAAGGACAGAGCTCTGGGTATAGTAAAGTATAGTAAAGTATTTTCATTTCTAGGAAAAAAATAAAAAAAAAAATATAGAGAACTAGAAAAACCATTGCCTTTATGTTTATAATTTAAGAAGCACTGTCACAGTCACTTTTGAACTGCTATAGATTAACACGAACAGCGAACGAACTTCCTTGAAAATAAAGCAGTCTGTATTCCTCTAAGCTGCTATTATTCTTCGAAAAAAGTTGTGTTGTGTTCTTTTTTTATACGAAATAATTTTACCGAACAATTTTCTTTTTTAAACAAGGGAAACGGTATTTGTTCCAAGGTACAAGCTGTCACCTGTGCAGTTTTGATTTTGATATCAAAATAAACGTATTTTTGGTGTCGGTGAAGATCAGTTGTTTGTAATTTTTCGAGCGAAGTACCCGCTGTTCACAGGTCACGTGTGATCAACAAAATAACGAGTGAAGATCGTTCCTTTGAGGGTGTTTGGAATTTCAGTCTCATGACATAAATTCCAAGATCAAAACTTCTTCTAAGATTAAAACTTCTTTTCAACGACAAAAAAGACAAGAAATAAAAAAGGTAAGACATTTCGTTTGCTTCGTTTCAATTTTTACTGAGTAAAGCAACTTTTTTTTATAAAGCAATTGTCTTGGTCGGCTTGCAGTTTTAGCGTTGAGGTTATGTTATGGTGTCAAGGTTATTGTTTTAGAACTGACAAGTATCATTGCTCTTCAAACTGCGTATTTAAAGTCCACGAACGTCCCCTTTCGGAACTTGAAATCACTCAAAGCATTTTATAATTCGTGTTGAAGTTTGATTTTATAAATAATATCTGAGTAACCTTAAACGTTTTCCAGAAAAAAAGAAAAACCGTTTTGGAACGTAGGTGTCAAAAGCTTATAAATAGTCTTCTTTCCGGTTTTTATGAAAACAGTCAATTTTGAGAGGAGTAGTTCTTCTTTTCCTGTACACGTTTTCAGTTCAGTGGTTGGCACTAAATTTTTACTTCATTTGCTGTTTCTTGAACTATAAAATTATGACATGTGCTCTATGTCTTTACTTGCCAAAAGTTGCGTCAACCGACAATATTCTTTCCTTTTAAGGCCGGCTTAAACAATTGGTACAAGTTAAAAAACAACACTTCTTAGACTGTGACTGTAATAATGTAAGCCTCAGGGCTTGTGATTAACTTGTGTCGAGGGATAATGTGAATCGAATGTTCAGTATTTGTTGTTGACGCAAGGTGCTTGTCACTCGTAAAGGCCTCCCTCGATGATGATGAAAGTTCATTGGAAATATTTTATGACAAACTGTCAAATATTATAAAAGAACGAGACTAAATTAAACACTACTCGATTCTGTGCTCACTTTGCCATTAAGGAGATATACATTACCTGCAAAAAATTTCGGACGTCTTTAATTTCGGAAACTTTCCTGATAGAATTTGTGTTATCCTCCCTTCGGAATATCTGTAAAACCTCGAGTGTGCTGCAAAACTATCCTTTTCACAGGTGTTGTTTCATTCTAATTCTTGTTTTGTTGGCGTAAATTTACTTCAGCTATGTTTCAGCAAAGTGTTTGAAATCTTTGTCCGAGATTTGTCCGAAATGAGATAAAAAGTGTCCGAAAACTAAACGTGCGAAATTTTTCGCAAGTAATGTTAAGTATGCTGTGATCTATCGACGTACACAATATTGTATGAATCGAAATTCATTCGTCTAGCTAAACATTTAGTCTCTTAATTGAGTGTCTGATTTCCCTCTTAGGAAGGTATAATGGACAGACGACAGCTCCTATTGGCTGCTGTGCTGTCAATCACGTGCTGTGTTTATGCTCAGCAGGCACAACACACAGGTGCGTCATTAAAACACGGGAAAATTTTGTCGCTGTCGCCATCTTGTTCATCAATCTCAATTAACCCTTCCACCCTAAAGGAACTGAGCAAAGCCCCCCTCAAAGTATACCATAGAAGTATAAATATCTCTTAACTCTCTTAGACACAATCATCTCAATTGGGTTAATTTTTGCTTAACACAAGCAGAAGTAGCTTACTACATAGTTGTTTCCCCGATAGTTGAAATGAAGAACGTTTTAGAAAACTCTGCTGTAGACTGTAATTTGATTACTTTTCAGTTTTTGCCATGGTTCTTGGAAAAGGAGGGAAAAAGTTACCAGGTAGGCTTCTGATCAAATGATTAATTTACTGAAAGCGGTTACAGCAATTGCTAAGTTTCATCATGTTTAATTCTAACAAGTTAGTAACTCTTGTCTTGTAAAAAGAACGTTTCGCCCCAAAATACATCAAAGATCCAATTAAATTTCTTTGAAGTAAGTTTCGTGAACTCTTTTCACTTCTTCTCTAATTTATGAAGCTCCTTACTTCTTTTTTTTACCATTTCAGACATCAAAGTTAATGGTGTCAAAATGAACTTGCATGCCCCTCAAGCAAACACAGGGGCTCAGGAACCAGGGGCTCTTGTGCAAGGACCTCCAACAGGTACACGAATGTTGCACTGTTCATAAATTCAGCTTGTGTGAGCATTTTTGAGCAAAATATCTCAATATGGTGTAATTAATATGCGAAAATTGTTCTATCTTTACAGAGACAGCAACATTCATTGTTGGAGGCAAGGCGTCTAATAACAAGCCTCCAGTGATGGCAGGTCAGATTATAACTATCATATCTTTCTGATAGAGCGGGTTTCAACTGAGTGTGGTAAAACCAAAACCAATGTAATCCCTGCGATCGTCACAAAGGACACAGACAATACAGTGAACCAATCAAAACTCGAAGTTATTACATGTAGCTGACGGATAGCGCGGGAAAATGAGTGTGAGCGAGTCACAGTTGGCTTGGTTTTACTTCTGATTGGATGAAAAATTGATGCCAGTTTTTTAAGCAAATCGTGTGCCGTAATGAGTGTAAAACCAATTACTTTTCGACAATAAGTGAAAACCGCTTTCTAACTTGAATAATCACATGTAATGACATATGATTAACTTGAAGATAATGGACCGGTACTTGCAGTCTCATAATATCGGCAGCAAAGTTAGTTAACCTTTCAATTTCTTGTTTTCTACAGAAGCTTTGGTAATGCCTGCAGCTAAAGCGAACAAGCCAAAATCAGGTTCGTAAAATGAAAAGCTGTTTCAAAACTATTATTATAGTATTTTTTTTTGTCAAAGGACAAGTGTGCTAGGTATGACATGACGAATACTCAGTATTGATAGCCACGGTCAGAAGATTGGAACGAGTCACATGAAAGTATGGGAAGAGTGGCCGAGTGGCCAGGGCGCCGGACTTGAAATCCGAAGGTCGCGGGTTTAAGTCACGCTCTGACCACTTAGCTGGAGTTGTTTCTTGGTAGACCCAAGTTCAACTCCTCTGTCATGCTTGTAAATAGCCAAATGGTCTGCCTGCCGCCAGTAGGCATTTTTAAGCCTATTATGTTTATTTGAAATATTATATTTCTTTCTTTCAGTTTAGGTGGCATGCCATGCCTGAGAACTAGCAAGTTGTAGCTAAGCGCATCGACCACTATAAACATTCAACGTTTGACATTTTTTTTAGGCTTCCCCTACCTTCCTTGATCGAAATGCCTAATTATTGTAAAATGATTTTTTTTTCATTTAGCCGCACCGAAAGCAATGGATGACCTTAAATTAACCAAAGAAGAGAAAAGTAAGTTTACATCCCGACTACTTTGGCAGATATTTCTATCAGCCTTGGGTTTGGTTCAAAGAGATAAACAGCTTTCATCGAACTCTTTCTTTTGCAGAGAAATTGTTTCCGTGCCATGATTACAAACCTTACTGTAGTAATTACGCCAAAACTGGCCAGTGCAGAGATGTATGGATGCAGAAAAACTGCAGGAAGAGCTGCAACTTTTGTGACAGTAAGTCAATAGTGTTTTTGCATGACGTCACGACAGCCACATTGGTGTTCCAAAACAATAAAACTGCGGCGATTTTGTGTTCCAAACCAATCCTATGGGAGTAGAACTCTTTTGTTATGTAGACACTTTCTTTTGTTCCAACAAATTTATCCTACGTGATTCGTTAAGTGCGCCAAGCGCTAATCAAGTCAAAACAGTGTATAAAAGTCAATATGTAAGCCTATGCCTAAGTTGGCTGTGAATCCTCGCAAAAGAATTACAAAAAAACGATTAAAACTCCTGCTTGGTTGACAGGTTCAAAACTGGTCAAAACACAAATTGGTCCTGTGGATGAAAATATTACATACTTTAAAATGCGATTAAAAAAAGACCATGCAACAGCACTGCATGACACTTAAACACTAAAAAGACTAAGCGAATTCTTTGCATTTCTCTTCAGTTCCTTATGGAGTGTTCATTGGCTGTCAAGATTTAGATGTCTGTAAAAAGTTTGCCGCCTCCGCTTGCATGGTCCGCTGGGTTAGGGAGACTTGTAAGAGCAAGTGTGGACAATGCGGTTACGGTGAGTACATAAGGAAGGAAATGTTTGCATTTGGCTAAATAAGCGTCGAGTCAAGCCATGTCTTGCACACGTAGTGTCACCTAATGCCACAACCTTACTAAAGAAAACAACTGAAAGAGACAAAATTCCAAAATAGATTAAGGTGAGAATCGAAAGATGTATCTTCATTTATCATCTGAAGAAAGGAAACATTCAAAGGCGGCCAGTGCTTTTAAATATGAAGTGATCAAACCGTTATTACTCTTTAGAAGAGCAACAGATTGTCCAATAGACAGGTGATGAGAATAAAAGATTATCATCTGGGAGGCGGGTCTCAGAAACAGTACCAAATTTTGAGAACCAAAGAAAATAGAAATTATGGCAATCAAAAAAGAAAATAAATATTTCAAGTTTTGTACTAAAACAGTTAGCGTTTCATGAGCAGCGTTGTAAATAATTTACAAAGTAATCTTTTACCTCTAGAACGTCAAGCCAACTCTCACATTACAATGGGCAAAAAGAGACATTTCAGTGATGGTAACACAAAGCAATCAGACCAGACCAAACATGTGGTGAAGGCTAAAACACTGAAAAACGTCCTTACAAAAATGACCCAGAAAGCAAAAGATACAGTTAAACAAGCAACAGCTAAGGTTAAACAACAGAGGAAGGATGACAAGTCTGCATTGAAGCCTAAAGTTGCTGTTGTTGAGAAGCCAGTGATCAAGGTTAAAGAAGCTCAGAGTAAGGACATCACTGAGGAAGAGAAAGACAATAGCAATGATGATGATGATGATGACGATGATGATGACGTAGCTGATGATAACAATGTTAATAATGACGAGGTAAGAGTAAGAGAAATAACTAACGTAGTGCTAGAGGGTTGATTGAAGTTTGACAAATATACGTCAAGTTGTTATGTGATTGCTTTTAATTAGAAACGAATCCTCAGAAATATAGCCCAAAGTCTCCTATAGTCTCCCACCAGAAAATATACTTATGACGTCACTTTCTCACCATTGTGCCGAAAACTGCACAACCGTAATTCGAGTGAGAAGTAATATATCAAACACGAAGGACAGTGTTTGACCACATTTCCAAACGTCGAGAAGAGAGTGAAAATACGACGCGTAACGGAGTATTTTTGATGAGTTTTAAAGTGTGTATACGGCCAGCAGGGTTTTTGTGGTTTTGGTATCTCTATAATGCGTAAAAAGGTATCCTAAGAAAAAAATTGGATTCCGACATTTTAACGCCCAAAGATCTAACTTTAAAGTTCCCGCTTCAGCCACGCCCAATGAAGTTGACCGTGAGTCAGTGCAAAAAAAGAGTCTGGGTTTCTGAATGGGTCGTGATGTCAAGTCAGGAATTGCCAAATCCTGCTAGTTCAGGTCACTGTTGTTTCAGTAGTGGTTAGGAGTTTTCTTCAACAAAAAGCAAACAAACAGAAGTTGGTGAAACAAGAAAAATAAAAACATGAGGCTCTAAGATGTTCCTGAAGTGACGTCATTCGTCACCAATCTTTCATTACGCGGTCAACTTCATTGGGCGTAGTCGAAGCGGGAAATTTAAAGCTTGATTTCATGGCAAAAAAGCACCGGAATTAATTTTTTTGGTTTGAATACATTTTTAGATGTTATAAAGATACCAAAACTACAAAAACCATGTTGGTCGTATAGACACTTTAAGGTGTTTGGAAATGTGGTCAAGCACTGTCTTTCGTATTTGATATATCTTCTCAATCGAAACTAAAACTAAGGAGAAAACAGAGAAATAAAATCCTAAAAATCTAAGTTAATAGGCCAATTCCGATAAATTAAAATTCTAACTTGGCTCCGAAGCTTAGGGGAATAAAACAAAAGAAATTGCATCGAGGATGAGGGATGAGTAATTAATTTATTTTATTTTATTCCCCTAAGCCTCGGAGCCTAGTTAGAATTTTAATATATCGGAATTGGCCTATTAAGATCAGATATCCAAACACCGTCACTGTCGTGATTTCCTTTGTTTAAACTTAATAAATTATTAGTGAGTTTGAAGGATTTTGAATGATATTCAAACGCGATCAAGAACGAGTGCCTATGGGAAATGAGATATAATCCAATGATTTTCGTTCTATTAATAATAGTTCTTTTCGTGATATTGAAAAAGGACCAAGACGTTAGTGGAGAAGGAAGCTCGCAAAATGAAGACGAAGATAATGACGATGACCAGGATAAAGCTTCAGGGGAAGCCAGGACTAAGGACAAACCAGACGAGCCAATCAGATTGGACACAGATCCAAGAGGCGAGCCAGTGGTTACTAAGCTGATCAACCAGCCAATCAAGTTTAACGACGCTCCAGGGAAGGCGATGCATGTAAAACACGTGAAGAATAAGAAACACATCAAAACCGTGAAGGACGCGCAACCAAAAGTTGAGCAGCAGAAGAAAGTGGCTAAGAAAGTTGAAAATGATCAAGTCGAGAAGAAATTCAAACAAGTTAAGAAACTACAAAAAAGCGACAAGCCAAAGACCACAAAACCGAAAAAGCTGAAAAACTGACTTCGATCAGTACAACGTTTTCCTTTTGATGGAAAGTTTTCTCTGGATTAAGTTGCCTGAGCATAAGTTTCTTTAAACAAAGGTCGAACAATAATTTATAATCCTCAATTTTTAATGATAACTTTTGCTGATGTTAGTACTTAGTTTTCTGTAGGTGGTTTAATTTGAGACTTGAGAAATTATTCAGAGTGAACACGGTAATAACACTAGGAGATAAGTACTTCATGTAAGACGCACGATATTTTGTTAATCTTGCTCCTTAATTCAGCTTGCAAATTGATTAACTGACTATAGGCTTTGAAGATGTACGCTACAGATTCAGAAATATACAAAATAAACATTTTTTCTTTACCTTACTCTTTTTTCTTTATCTTTCTCCCATTGATGTGTTTGGAGTTAGCTTTTTTCTTTCCGTCCCATGCACTAGACCCGACTCTTCACGAATTACCATGAAAATATTTTCAATCGTCCCAGGGAAAAGCAAGCATAATTAAAAAGTAACTCATTTGAGACAAACGCCTCTTTCCCTATCCTAACTTTGTCAACAATGTAATGTTTGGCTCAGTAGCAAAACATCAGCACGACGGAGTCCATGTCTCGCACTGAGAGCCTTTGTTCACCTGACCAGCGGTCTTGCTTCTCAGGTGACCGATGTTCGTGGCATACGTATGTACTGCGTAACTGGAATGTTGTTGTTTTTTTTAGCCTAACATATTCATCAGTTGTTCTTTTAAAAGCCATGAGCCCGACAAGCAATCGGGAGAATGAATGTATTTAGTCCAGTTCGTGACCTATTTGACACAGAATTACGTTTCCATTGATCAAAATAGCATGGAATTCTCACTTTAAGGTGGCGATTATCTCGCAATAAAACATCTACATTACTCGCAAAAAATTTCGGGTGTTTTATTTCGGATGTTTAGTTTTCAAACACTCTTTCATTTCGGACAGCAATTTCGGCCCCTATGCTGAAACAAAGCTAAAGCACATTTACGCCTACAAAACACAAATGAGACGGAAAAAGATAATTTTATTGCACCCTCGAGGTTTTACAAATGCACCGACGAAAAATAATGAAATTCTATAAAGCCAACTTTTGTTCGATCCATAAAGCCCGGCAGAAAGGAAACTAGGAGCCTTAATTTTTAGAGCGAACTTCAAAGTTTTATCACTGTTTATACTGTCCTGTAAATATTTCGGACGCTTGAAATTTTGGACTGTTTTATTTAGCTCTTATTAACCGAGCAGGAGGTCTGTATGGGAGAATCTTGACCGAGGTCGTGAGTACAGACCGAACGCAGTGAAGACTGTACACACGACCGAGGTCAAGATTCTCCCATNAACTGGTTTGCTGACATTTTGCTTGCAAACGGAGATGAGCTTAACTTAAACCTGCCGAAATTTGCTCGTCTTCTTTACTTTTTTTTGTCATCAGGTTTTTGGTACTTCCATAAATGATTGAGAAGAAAGTAAAAAAAAAAAAACGGTGAACTTTTTGTATTTGAGTTTGCCACTTTTTCAACGCAAAATGAAACCGGTCTAGACGCCGATCTAGATGGGAAAATCTAGACCGCGGTCAATATCGATTTCAGCCAATCAAATTCGTGAATTCGGTAGTTCCCAGTCCTTGTGAGACACAGCCATATAATAATTGTCCGAAATGAAAATCGTTCGAAAGGTTTTTTTTGCAAGTAATGTAATACATAAGTTTCTATCATCTGTTTTAAGTACGTTTCTTCATGCAAGGTTAAGCAGAATCAACTTCCAATATTCAAAGATGTAAGCATTAGAAAGTGACAGCTATTAGAGTTATGCAAACAAGCCAGTTTTAAATTCATACCCAGCTCACAGTGAATGGAATATTCCTCCCGGACAAACAAGCACGTGACACGCCAAGGATCATGGGAAGTATCTTATCTTAATCAATTGAAAGAGCTGCTAAATTATTGTTTTAAATCTTATCATATTTTTGAAATTCAAAACAACTTAGCGGAGGGGCCATTGATAATTTCCTTTATGTCTTCTTCATAAAGATAAAGGTATCAGGTAAGCGATAGCCATTTAAAAAGTTTCTTCAAGAGTCAACGATTCAGTTCTTTTACGATCACGAGCTGGGCTCGAGTGACATTGACAGAAAGGTATAACAGCTAGTCAGAGTTTTTCTGACCTGACCTGTTATTTCGATTCAATTCCTTTATTGAAAGACTACGTTTCAAAGATCATTTGATTTCTATAAATGCATTTCTTTAAAATTGATCAATGAACAAAAAAGTATATATGACATTTGTAGCACGCTTGCTAAATAAATCAAGGCTAATTGGCATTGTTATTTACTTCCTAGACTGTGATTTATGTGAATTACTTGACGACAGGATTATACGTGCAATAGAAGGATTGTACTTGTTTGGTTCTATTACTTGGCTAAACCTATGTTGGCAAAATACGTGAAAAGTGCATAGTTAAGGGTAAAAGTATGTTGTTAAGGGAAACTTTGGAGGCATCATTGCGATTGAGTGCATGCAAATGAAAGCTCGATCACTGCTAACAACCAGTGCACTTTCACAAACTGGTCTGTAACCTGCTCACCCTTTGTTTAATAGAAAGCGATATGTGGTTGACGAGGACAGAGTACGGCATAAAGGCACTGTTACTACTACTTTGCTTTGGCCTACAGAACACGCTCTTGGACGCCAAAGGTAAATACGTGATTTATCCACTGGTGCACTTCAATTTGGATTTATTTAATTTAATTACTGAATTTATTGTCTTGAATGCTTTTCTTTCTCGCGTTGATCTATAGGAAGTTTATTTACTGGCGTATAAAATTAATTCAATGGATAAAAACATAGCGAGGTTTTTCAGATTTGAGCTTAAATGGGGATCGGCTCATATAGTTGATTCCGTCCATTGAACTGCAAGCTTTTCATACAACATTTCTCCATGTATATCCATTTTATTATTCGTCTGACGAAATGGTTTCTCTCCCATCGCTTTGAATAATTTATAAGGGCAGTTTTGCCATTTTCTTAAAACAGCACCCGTTTGTTTTTACATACAACCCGATCAACGATACCTGTTCCTGCCTTTAATCTCTACGAAAACATCATTTCGTGGGCAAAAATAAACTGGGCAACGACGACGAAATAATATGTCTGTTAACATCGCCTTTTGGATGCGCTACAAACTGTTTAACATCTATTTTATACATATCTAACTATGCGTGCGTGAAGTAAGGAATGCTTGTTCATTGCTCCTGTTTCGCTATGAACCGAGTTGCCTTTGAACGCTCCTATCAAGTTATATCGTTGTGTACAGTTTGATAACCATTTAATTCTCTCCCAAGTTATCTTCTGCGCCTGAAGAAAATCCTGCTTGAATATCAATTTCCGTCTTTTTCCTGACGGTGATCAAGAGCTGAATTCTCTTATGATATGAATGTGTTGCCAAGCACACAGGTGATGAAAAGAAAGACAATGGTCCACTAGTGTTAGCTGTATTAGTAGCATCTTGAAGTCTTGCAAATTTTTCAGAGTCAGCATTTAAAGAAATGAGTGCTCGAAAAATTGATATTCAGTTCAGCACAAGGCTGAATAGTTCTTTTGTCCATTTTTTTATTTTACCGATCGAAAGATCAAAAATTACACGGGTACTTGTCAGTTCATTAAGAGGCGGTAGTTCGCGAAGAAAACACCCGCTTTCTCAATGAGATCACAAGCTGTGAAACTCTACACATTGAATTGCATTTAACGAACATCAGTGTAAGACAATGAAAATTGTGATTGGCTGTTGTTGGGTGCATGTAGAAATCTGGAAAACTGTTTCTGACTGTAAAATGTTCTCTGTGAGCGATATGGCCTAGGAGGGGGTGGGGGATGATTTTACAACGCCAAAAAGGTTGTCACCGGCTGAATAAACAAGGAAACGATTAAAAGCATAAAAGCCCGACCACATAAAGTTTTATTTCAAGTTTTTTTGGATAGAAATGCCCATTGAAAATGTCAGAAAAAGCTCCTCATCGGCTGAATCAGTGCATGCAGCCGAAAGCGTAGCTTTCTTTTACTAAATGACACTGTTTCGTATCGCCACATTTTCGGAAAGGAACAAAGCTTGATTGCAATCACGAATGGTCAATTCTCTCTATGAAGCGCCTGCAGGGAATCATGGTAAGTTGTAGTCATCACCTTGGACTGGATAACGTTCACTGCCACTTAGAAGCGCCCCTGCTTCTAAAGTACCCCGGGTATGGGCCCAGTGACCTGTAAACCATAAAATACATCCGGTTATAAGCCTCCTTGGATACAAGCCCCCTCTAGTTAATTCTCCTTGTTTTGAATTCGTTTTATTATGATGTTTTAAAGCTTCATTAAAAACCAGTAAATGAAAAACCTATTTCGATCAATACAGCTGTAGCTCGTTTCCAAACGGTTGTTTATTCCGGTTATTAGCCTAGTCATATATAAGCCCTTTCGTTTATAAGCCCATCTAAAAGTTCTTACAAAGTTGTGTAAGCTCTGGGCTTACAAGTGGCATTTTGTGGTATTTCTTTGTATGAATACAACTACCATGATTCCCTGCAGGCCCGTCTCATTAAGGGAATTGGCCATTGCTACATGCACTGATCAGCATGTAGATTGCAACTACTCAGCGACATTGTATATAGCACCTTTCTTGTCGCCTATGTGATCTTGAAAAGCTAAACTAAGCTTGTTTATTGACATTGAGTTGCTATGCTTATTGTTCCTTTGAGCAGCTATCAAGAAATCCAAACATGCCATCCATAAAAGCGCGAGCAAGAAACACGACGGTAAGTATACACTTTTAACCGCAGATACATCAGTTACTTTCTCTGCCAGATCTTATGGAGGTTACGTTTTTTCACCTGAGTTTCACAGGGTTCATTTTGCCTTCTCACAGCTCCGAAAGGAAGCTTCTGCGTCAACCACTCATATTGTGTCAAGTATAGCGATTTGGACTGCGCTTCTGAATGGGTTGAACTGAATTGCCCCAGGATGTGCAGGCTCTGTGAATATGAAGGTAAGCGAAATACGCGTTAAAACGCAGCAATGGTTTATCCGCAGTCTGCCGCTGTCACTTATATTGATTTCCGCAACGCTTGCAAGCGAGCTCAGTCTGTAGCTTTTGTTGGGGATATTCACTTGGATGTTCTGTCCTTAATTTCTTGCTAATATTTCCAATGCTAACCGGGAGAACACCCCGCCCTATAGGTAGCAGTGACTCAATCATTTTAAGAGACATTACTGATGCAGTAGCAAACACTATTATAGGCTCTGATATCATGAAGCTTCCAGCAGTCTTGTACTACAAGAAGGGAAACAAGAAGCATGGAATCACCAAGAAGGGAGACAAGAAGCATATTGTTACTTCCAAGAAACACCGGAAACACAAAATTGAACACGCTTCCAAGGTCATCGATAAGCGCGACAATGATGATGGCGGCAGACGTGACGTAGTGTTCCTCAATCGTCCATCCGACTACTCGCCAACCAAGCCTCCATCTAATCCCCCGACCACCAGCTACTCTCTCTTTGACTACAAAAGTAATTACAGGAACTGGCTTTTCCTGTACCCTGACCAGCATCCTGTCAATATGCAATATGTTGACCAGGGAAAAGCTGCGGACCCTAATCAGCAAAATGGTGCTCAGCAGCAGGCTGCCGCTACCCAGGATGCTTCTGCGGCTGCTGCAGCTCCAGCAACTGGTACTGCTGAACCCGCAGTAGGTACTTCGGCTCCTACTGCTCCTGCAGCACCAGCTGCAGCATCCGCCGTTCCCGGTTCTGCACCCGCGGTTGCACCTGCAGTTCCCGCTGCGGGTCAAACAGCTGCGCCTGCAGAGGCTGCTCCTGCTGTCGCCGCCGCTCCTTCTGTGGCTGCTGCCACTAACCCAGTCGCTCCTCAGGTGGGGCAGGCGGCTACTGCTGCTCAGCAACCTGCCGCACCGGTTGCAGCCCAGCAACCTGCCGCACCAGTCGCAGCTCAGCAACCTGCCGAACCAGCTGTAGCTCAGCAACCTGCCGCACCAGTTGCCGCTCAGCAACCTGCCGCACCAGTTGCAGCTCAGCAACCTGCCGCACCAGTTGCAGCTCAGCAACCCGCCGCACCAGTTGCCGCTCAGCAGCCTGCCGCGAACCAAACTATCCAGTTGATCAATCAGACAGTGTCCCCAGCAGTTAATACCACCTTTGAACCCAGTGTGGCTAATGTGAGCCAAGCAAATGAGACCATCATGGTTGGAGGAATGCCTGTTGGAAACAATACCTCAAACCAGACTGTCGCAGCGGGTAATGTTGTACATACGTAATGTTAAATAATTTGCTGATCTTTAAGTTATGCGAAACATAATATTTAAACCTTTATTACAACGGTAAGCATTTGCTAATCAAAATTGACAGTGCGAACGTTTAGAGGGCGTAACTGGTGCTCTATTAGGACGATTTCGAAATTAATCCCCGAGTTAATTTCTTTGGCTTTGGCTTTGGCAAACGCATGCCAACGGGAGAGGAATCGTTTTATTTTGCCATATTGCTTCCATCAAAATGATCCTTTTTGTTTTTGATCGCCTTGCATATATTAAGAACATAGTTAGCGACCCATATCTATTCTCATCACAAGCTCGTAACATAACATAATATTAAGATATTGTTTGGAGAAACTAGATGCTCATGTTTTTTTGCACAAGGTAACATCACTTCACAAAATCAATCTCAGTCATTGGTAGAGACACTGCCACAGAACTCGTCACTATCGCAGAATTCATCTCTGTCACAGAACTCGTCTCTTTCACAGAACTCTTCTCTGTCACAGAACGCATCTCTGTCACAGAACTCGTCTCTGTCACAGAATTCATCATTGCAAAATCAGACAGAAACACCAGCACTCCTACACAATGAATCCAGTTCACAAACCACATCAACTGCAAATGCACTTGGCACCTCAGAGCCCCGCAAGGATGAAACATCTCATAGTGAATCACTCGAATCATCTTCGAGCTCTTCATCAGTGCAATCATTGCACGTGTCAGAACAAGAGGTAACATCTCAGCACAATCTTCATCTTTTCAATTCGGATGAATCGAGTAAGATGCAGGGACATTTTAACCCTAACGGTGCGAGTGTGGCTTTGTCCGGTCCAGGTACCATGGATCTGACAACCACAGGTCAGTCCTTTACTCAAGATGTCACAATAGATCCACAAGCAGGATCGGATGATCAGTCTGATTACAGCTGGACATGTTGCAAGAAACAACCAAGGCCAAAGGATTGCAAAAAATGCCCCGACCTACCAAAAGCGCCACCACGTGAGTAGTAGCATTACCTTAGCTTTCTTTCAGCCACGCTCGATTGTAAAGCCTTCGTCAGTGAAGCCTGCAGAATTTCTTCACTTTAGTATGCGGAAAATGGGAGAGATGGAGCAATATGATTTTGCCTGAAGGAAGGGGTGATTACTTGGGAGGGAGAATAATTTAATTTAATCTGGACCAACAAGAGAATTTTTAATACCAATAAGCTGTAAATTCATTTGAATTATTGGTTGTTAAATTTTTCTTCGTCACCGCATATTTCATGGATTCTATGTCTCTCGCGTCCTTACTTAAAATCCTGATTAAAATACAGATACCTTTTTCGTAGTTGATTTCACAATAACTATGAATTACCTTTGTCGATTACATCTCTTTCGGAAAGGTACCCTAATCTTATTATGCTATATTTTGAACCATAAGTGCATCAATTATCGGCTGGAAAAATTTGTCAAAATTGCCATGTTAACATTTATTTCAAAGGGGACACCTTTAAACACGTTGTTGACCACACAAAGTTGCATCTCCTGTAATTCTCGTTTCTTTAAATATAACTGATATATACATTCATATTTTCATTTCCATTCCAGTGCAATATGTGTTCAACGTCTACTGTGATGACCTATACAAAGATTGTGCTTACGGATACTCTAACTGTAACGACACCTGGTGGCAGATTCATTGCCCTAAGAGATGCAACCTCTGCAAGGGTAAGATTAAAATAGATTGAGCTACTTTTAAGGGTTTTGTTACTTAAATCGACGCACATATTAATTTACCTTTGCTGTGTTACTAGTCGTTAAATGGAAAGCCTTGTCTTAATAGAAAGAGGTGATTATCAAAAAGAGGAGAGGGTATGAATAAAGGAGGGTTCTTTCTGATACCAGTAAGGGAGGCAGCGTTAAAGCGAAGATAAACGGTAGCGGGGCACTCTTAAACAAAGACTGGAATAATTGTGTTTTAAATTCCGTAACTAGCAATACAGTTAATACGTACTGAAGTCGGCATTACAACCAGGTTCAGCTATTGCAGCCTTTGTGAGCCTCAGTAGCATTGAAGAACAGATGGAAGAGGAACTCTCAACTTTAATAGGATTTCTAACATAAACCATTTTGAAAGGATGAAAATGGTCTATATTATCCGAAACTAATACACAGTTGATTGGAAACTGGTACTGAATCTGTTTTGATCCATTTGACAGCCTTCAATGGTTTTATTGCCTTGCAAACTTAGTTCTCTAGCCAGAGCCATTTCCACGACTCTCGTAAAGGAGATACGTCACGGTTTGCCCATCTTGAAAAGTTTAGTCTAGATTTTTCAAGTTTGTCGTTAATTTTATAATAGGCAATTTGCATGATGGCGTCATTTGACTACAATTACCAGAATCCTTCACTTTCTCTGTTTCTTATGCTAATTAGGGCAATTTGTTTAAACCCCACTGGAAATTCAAAATTTGAATAATAAAGAAGAAAACGAAAGGAATTCTGATAGTTGTAGTCAAATGACGAGGACGTGCAAATCTGCTGTTCATGTCAATCTTCCACATGCTCAACCATGCTTGTTCCTTGATGGTTTGTTAGTATCTTTTTGGTGTTTTTCTGTCTTAGTAAACTATTACGTTCAGGTTTCTTTCAGTTTAAAGGTAATTTTGTACAAGTCAAACTGCCATGGCTGAGCTCCTTCAATGAGAAAATAAATGTCTTACAATTTACAATGTCTTTTCAATTTGTTTTTGCAGCCCAAGATCAGCAGAATACAACGGCGACACAGACCCAGGAGATTTACCCGAACGAGGTGAAGAGCCTTTCAGAAACTTCAAAGATAGAGTCTGATCTGGTGGCACCTGCCCCAGGAAGGAAACCACTGGTAGCCAAATACACTCTTCGAGTGAAGCCCAAACTGTTGAATGGGGTGCCACAGACACAGGAGATCCGCATCATGCCACCAAACAAGGCTGGAACTGCCGGATATGTCAAACCACTGATGGTACTCAAGCAAAATATCACCAAGCCTATGATTGAGAATATCGAGATCGATGTTCCTCAAAAGGGCGCGAAATTTAGCTCCAAGCCGAGCGTGGAGGTTATTGAAGGAGATCACACAGAGATGCTGAAAGTAAGCAAGGGACAGGCGATTGTGGAAGACCCAGTACAGAAGTCCAAGACACAATCTGAAGGTATAATAGAGTAAAGGGGACTTCTTCAATTGTGGGGAATTAGATTGCGATTTCCTTTGATATTAAAATACATTTTGTTTTCCCTCTACTACAGAAATCAAAGAAGCTGAACCCGAACAAGACGCATCCGCTCAAACCACCACTGATCAAACCCAGTCCTCATCCGCCACACAATCAGCTGCCCAGACCACAGCTTCATATCAGCCAGAAACTCAGAGCCAGTCTCCACTGGACACTCAGGTCGCACAAACCACTGTTCCAGCAACGCAGTCCGCTGCTCCCGTTGCTCAGCCTGTAGCTTCAGCAACCCAAACTGATACTACAGCAACCCAGGCCGATGCCTCAGCAACCCAGTCTGCCAGTTTGACAACACCTCAGACAGCTGCTGCTCCAGTCACCCCAGAAGTTTCAGCCACCCAGACCGCTGCCTACACCAACAGTAAGTGGTTTCTACGCATCACATAGAAAAACTAAAGGAGTAACTCGAACCTTAGAAACGTTTGTTCCCTAAGTGCACTTGCATTTAGAATGAAATCATTCTGATAAGCTGTTTCCTAATATAATCAAAAGCTTTAAACTCACTAATTTACAAACAAAGAAAGAGTGCCTAATTCATGTTTCGTTCTCAGCCGAAACCTGCACAGATGACGGCAGATGCAAATCATATACCGCTGACCGCTGTTCTGATCCATGGCTGACGAGTAACTGCAAGAGCATGTGTAAACTCTGTTAAATAAAAAGGTACAGACGGGTTTTTGTTGAACAAAAGGAGCTTTAAATAAAAATACGTAGAAACGATGGCCGAGACATTCTTATGTCCGGAATTCATCTGGTTACTTGTAGTTCTACTTGTCCTATTGGTGATTTATTAAAGGGGAGCAATATATAGCATGGTGGCAATACAGGAGACAGTGAGAGTGTGTCGGAGATAGGACCTAAGCCCAGTAAACATACTGAATTTTCAAGAATTTCTGTTATCTATTATTGCACCAGGAGGCATGGTGGAAAATTTAACCAAAATGCATCACGCTGGTCCTTCGTAAGACCTCTCAATCATCTCAGTCTTAACTGTTCTTGTTCACTTTTGGTTTGGTCTGACAACAGCTTTATTATGAAAATGTTTCATACAGAAGAAAGGTGGTAAATGTGGAGATAGGAGGGTGTTTGCGGAAGGGGAAGAAGGGGATAGGAGAGGGACGAGAAAGGAAGAGTAAAATTAAGGTTCTGTGCCATTACATGCTGTCCCACAGACACTAAGTTGATGATTTCTTCTCATTCTCAGATTTTAGACACGACTGCCAACTACGAGCAGTCATGTGATCCACCAGAAGCAATAAAGCCCAGATTTGTAGATAACAAATACTCTATACAGTAGTCAAGTCTCCCTGTCAACTCAAGTTTTAATCTCATTTCACAAAGCTGCTGTGGGGATTTCGATTTCGATGAAATAATTAGATTTTACTTTGATTCCCTTCCTTGGAAGGTTAGGTGCGGTTTGTTTTTCTTAGTTCATTGGATTATAATGTATACCGTTGGCCGATAAATCAACGCTTAGGTGCCCCATTATTCTACTTTAACATAAATAAAATGTAGAATTCAAAACGAGGCCATCATTAATCGAGCACAAGCTATTCTATGAATGCTATATTTTTGGATTTGTGAAAGTCTTTATTGCTTGTGAAATACACGCTTATTCTTTAAATAAAAGATCGTCCTATATAAGCGAGTTTGTAGTTAATTTGCGCGCCATTTTGCAGGCACGCGTCGATAACAGCCCCTACCAAGTTAAACGGTATAAATCCACGTTTATTTACTCTCTTCCTTTTGTCATAGCTTGACAATCCACTAAGAGCTTACGGGTTTTTAAAGGGCCTAATTGAATGGGTCACATGTCAGTTGCGGCCACTGATATTTAATTGAAGTTCTCGAAAGCTCTCTGAAATTGCGTGAAATGGGTCAATACCAACACTATGCTACCGTTATCGTTTATTGAAGTTAGTCACATCATTTTTCCTAATCTTCAAATTAAGGGATGTGTTTCTTTATTCTCCTGTAACAGCCATTAAAAATATGGCCTATCAGAGTATCGTTAACACATTTTTACATAACGCGTCCCAAAGTGCATGAAATTCATAAAATTGTCTCTGAGGATTCAGAAACGAACTGTTCTCCTTTTTCAACTTTTCACGTCAAAATCTACCAGCTAAATGCTTTCTGATTTTCTTCAGTATATAATAAACCATAATATCATTATTTATTCCATGGAAGGTTTTTAATGTAACAATAATATGTTTCCAGCTCATTAAGCAGAAACGTCACCAGTTGAGCCTAAAAGCTTCTTAAAATTTTCGTGACCTGACATCTTCAAGCGCGAGTTAGACGAGCGAATCCATTATCCCTAAATACGACTTTTTGTCGCTTCTTAAAAATGTTCAAATTTGTGCTATTGCTCGTCTGCCTGGCAGTGACTGAGGGTAGAAATATCCAACGGTTTATTCGAGGTAAGTGGGAAATATTTGTAGTTTTATCAGTTGGAAGTCAAAATAATTTTGACGCGACATTATTAACATGCTCTGAACGGGTCAGTTTAGAAATAAGAATTCCAACAAAACTCATGATCAGCCGTAACTGTGAGCCGAACGAACAGAACATCACATAAGGACTGGCAGATAGAATCAGCCGAATAAGAACGTCTTCCAAAACAAATTATGACAAGAGTTGTAGGCAGATTGCTAAAGTCAAGACAATGTCAAAAGATCATCAAATCATCATGGGTTTTCGAACTTGCCAAACTGGGCGTGAACGAAATAAGCGGTCACACCAATCAAGAGTTGCTCTAATCATATCGAACAACAAGAACGGACTGTGGACATGACTCGCCCTGCAAAAATATATTTTGAAACTGTCTCGCAGTTAAATCAGTGATTTATAACCTCGTTTAATTTAAAGACTGTTTTTCGGAAAAGACGAAAGATAAAGGCGATTTAGATGAAAGCACCGACTCTTTTGTTCTGCTTCCGAAAATTCACAACAGAAAACAAAAAAATCTAAATTTGTTTTCACTTTTTTTATTTTCCATACTAAGTAAGAAAGACCACACAATGGAAATTCCTCGCATTTTCCGCTCTCAATTTTACATAGTATTTGGTCATGCGTGTCGAATTTCATACGAACACCTGTTGAAGGCTTTGAAAAAGCTTGGTTAGTTGTTTGAAGACAGAGGAGAAAGCGTTTTGTTCTGGTAAAACACAAAGAGAAAATGACATGTTGATATCAAAGCGAGTCTTATAATCCCAAAGGAACCTTTGTTAAATTCTTCTATGAGACCTTTCCTTGCCGCGGAGGTGGGAGACTGGGCATTGTCAATTTATTATAAAAAAAATACAACTTGACGAGGAATATGATACATAGGGAGAAAGGACTGGGGAGGAGTCTGTAACGAAAGTTTCGCAACAGCCTTTTTAACTTCTCATTTGTATTACTTGATCCAGCATGTATGTGAAGAAATTTCGGGCTATTTTGTAGTATCAACCCGAAATTGTCTAGCATCTAGGCTGGATTACATTGTAATACAAATGAGAAAACTGAACGGTGAAAAGAACTATTACTAGAGAGGTTAAGCATGACGTTAACGGCAGACGGCAAACGGCGATGATAACTTCTGACTTTGAGTTCTTTTCTTTTAATCCGTAAATAAAGCACACAAAAATAGAATAACTTCTCCTACTATTCGCTGCAAACACAAATAATTTCACTCTACTGTACACACAGCTGAAGAGAGACGGCGAAAGTTACATTTTTGCCGTTTGCCGTAAACGTCATGCTTAACCTCTCTACTAACCAAGATAAAGAATCTCAAAAGCCTTAGGAGTGTTCAGTCAAAGTGGGGAAGATGACAGAACCTATTCATTATACGAAGTTACTTACTGATCCGATTAAAAATATATTTCTTTGAACTTACCAAAGATGAAAGCAGTAACTCCACGGCTAGTGATATCGATCTAAAGAACGCCACAGCGAACGCCGAGGATGCTCCGGAAGTCTCCGAGCTACAGGCGGACCTGGTCGCTCCGGCTTCGGGACCCAAACCACTGGAGGCGAAATACACAATACGAGTAAAGCCAAAGCTAAAGGATGGCGTCCCGCAGATCCAAGAAATCCGTATCATGCCTCCAAAAAGCAACTCCACGAACGGTTTCGTCAAACCACTGATGGTACTGAAGCAAAACGTTACTAAACCTTTGATCGAGAATATTGAGATCGATATCCCGGAGAAAGGAGTGAAGTTTGCCTCAAAGCCAAGCGTGGAAGTCATTGAGGGTCAACGTAAAGAGATGATGAAAGTCACTAAGGGGCAGGTGGTAGTGGAGAATGCGGCACAGAAGTCTGAAACGAATTCTGAAGGTATGTTGGTTTAACTGATACGATTTTATCGCGCTTATCACTCTCTCCAAATCATCAAGGTTCCACGATTCCAGAGAATATTGACTTCTAAAAGGTTTAACAACAAAAATTTGGTGGCTCGTCTGCATCGTCTTAAAGTAGATATCTACGAATCGAAGTTACCATTTCTCTGACTGGCAATATAGCATTCTCAAATAAGATTTAAACCTTAAGTCTTTATTGTAAGAAAACAGGCAGAACATGAGATTACAATAAAAACTGCGTGAACAAGCAATGATCTGGAAAACATTCCGCCACATAAAACATCTACTTAGCGACAAATGTGCTGCTCGCCTCATGTTTACTAACGTAACATGCTTGAACGTAAATAACCATATTAATTTTCTTTCACAGATAAACAAGCCAAGCCTCAAGACCAAGCTGTCTCTCAGAACACAACTGCTTCATCGTCTTCCCAGAATACAACAGAGCCATCTACTTCCAAAAATGCAACAGATTCAGCGTCTTCTCAGAAACCACCAGAGAAGTCAGCCTCCCAGGATGCACCAGAGAAAAATATAACTTCCTCAACTCAAACACAGGCGGCTAATCAGACACAATCACCAGCTACTTCCCAAACACAAACAGCAGCTGCTCCCCAGACACAAGCACACGCCGCTCCCGAGACACAAACAGCAACAGCAACAGCTCCAGAGACACAAACACAAGCTGCTCCTCAGAATACAGTCAGTAATTATTACCAGCCCACTTACCAGACCCAGCCCTCTGCTCCGGCCGCTCCGATCGCCCCAGTTTACTCGCCGCCAGCTCCAGCAGCCTATAGCAGTGGTAAGAGAAAACAAATTTAAATTTCATTGGATTTAATGTTTTATATCTAAAATTTAATTTGATGTTTTATATCTGTTTTATATATTTTTGTAGTCTTTTGGCTGATGCTTTTTCGTTTTGTATTCTCCATTGTTCAGTAAGTCGAATTAAACTTTATTAAACACGATAAACTCTTGAAAAGAGGAATTAGAATTAAAAGTCGTTAAATAAATGTACTAGATGCCTATTCTTAGATGAAACGTAACAGCACCTTTAGGAAAGAGAGTAATTATACATCTTGTTTACACGAACACTGTTATTTGCTGGTAGCATTTTAGAATAGTTTCGATGGCTTCTATAAACCCGCCTTGAGACCAAACTGTCAATGATACCCCTGTTATGCCTTATAGTATCAGTGAATACTGCTGCTTCATTGTTTTAACTCGTTTTATGAACTTGTATTCTTCTTGATTTTAGCAGTACCTCAAACTTGCACCAATGATGTCCGCTGCCAAGTTTACCCTGATGACCGCTGTAGAGAGCAATGGTTGATGACTAACTGCAGGCTCAAGTGCAGACTTTGTTCGAAGTAAACACGAAAATAACCTGGAAAATATTTCAGTATAAAAGGCACCATTACATTTTAAATAATTTGTCTGTTCCAGACTCTCAGATCTTAGGGAAAGAGACCAGACTAACTGCACCTGCTCCCTTGTTTTCTTGCATTTTTATCCCCAGCATGGAAGCATTCAATTTTCTTTGACTAAGAAAATCAAGTGACTCGAAAGATGGCTAGTGTTCCTTATAATCTGAAACGCCTGGAATGGACTGAATTGGGCTGTTATATATAGAGAGAACCTCCAAGTGTAACGTTCAACTATTTGCAGTATATCTATTTTTGGCTGGCCAAGAGTCAAAGTATGCTTCGATGAAGTCCTTTTATCTTGCCATTCGATTGAAAGCTTTTAAATGGAACGTCCCTGTGGGAGGTTTCAGTACGTCGCTATAGAGTGGATGTAAAAGTTGTTTTTCGGCGTTTTAATTTAATTTAGCTAAGTGTAAAAGAAACACAGAACGTTGCAGGGCCACGGTTACAATTGCTTGTGTAGCGTCTTAATGTTTTGCTACCTAAATTGCTTGTTATGTTTGTGAAAGTTTGTAAAGCACTTTGTATTTTTATTTTTTGTTTTCGCTCCTATACTTGCTACTGAGCATTCTCGTGAAATTCCCTCTATTTACTCTCCAAGCATTTTTCCTACCCGTATTTTTTTTGTTTGAGTCTAATCGACGGTGATGGTTAGAAATTATTTCCCTACAGGTTTTAAAACATTCTTATACCCCGTTCACACCAACATCTCAAACATGCTTAAAAGTGGTTTAATAAACAAGGTTAGAGATTAGTTGCTCATACTGTACACGCCCCACAACTTAACAAGGTAAAAACTTGTTTGATTAAAAAATATTGGCAAAGTGATTTGAAATTTATCTTCTCAAAATGACTGCAAAGTGTAATCGGCAAATCGGAAAAACCTGACCATGATTTAGTTAAGCTAGATTAGTTCGTGTGAATGGGGTATAAGTTTACTTTTTTGTGTGCCAACTTCCTTTTTACTACCTTTAGTGCATTTTATCCTGTCTAGCTATTTGTCCTAAAATAAGCTTTTTCCCAATTCGGTACCAGGAAAATAGTACCTATCGGTGAAGTGTGTTTAAAATCTGATTGCACAGGAGATTTAGGGCCCCCAATATGGAATATTAGACTTACACCAACAATAAACGCGCATAATTTAATAACTATACAGTATTTCATATTCTATACTCAGTATATCTCGCATTCCTTGTGATCATTCATGACAGATTGCCGAATTTATTTTCAATTGCCCTAAAATAGAAGTTAAGCCAAAGAAATAAAGCAATAAATAAATAAGGTCACTCTGATGCATTATTTTAATGACAAAATAAAATCATCGAGGGCAACACTGGGGTAGATGGTAAAAATCCCGTTTCACGCACGAATTTTAGCTAAATTCACGCGTGACGTAGACATTCACGCATTATTTTGGCCCTTTCGTTACTCTTCAGTCGTCACGCACTAACTTTTACCCTCATCACGCGTCCCGCATATCTCATAAATGTTGGAAGAAGCTAAAAGATTACGAAGTATGGTGTAATTAATGGCAAAGATGTCACAATTACATCCGGACAGTCCTACTAACTACCAAATTTGAAAAATGTACGCAAACCTTTTTCCAATACGCTGTTCGCAGATAACCTTTGCTACTTCGTCTTATGTTAATCCACAGATATAATATTTTCATTCGCTTTCAAGAGCTAAATACCGGCACGGGGAAAACCCAAACTGTATATAGTTGTATCGGACTTTTTTACCTGTGTTTTTGTGTCATCTTAAGGCGTTTTAGAAAGGATTTCACCAACGCCAAGGCTGTTAATTCCTTCAAAGACCGTTTCTTCCAACGCGTTGGACTCAATATCCTGTTTCATTTATTAACCATTCAACTTTCTCATTGATATTTAAATCGTTTGTTAATAATTGGGAAACATGTGAAAGAGGAGACCTAATTCTGTTCTCTGGAGTCCAGAAGACTAAGCTGTGGCGATCCCGAGGAAAGGGGTGCTATGCAAAGTTTTATACGGGGGAGCTCCGCCCCGAAGACCAATCCCTTACCCTTGTATACCATTTTGACAGAAAAGGTACCCGTTTCGTCCTTTAGTATTGAAAAAGATCCCCCTTTCACGTACTCTCATAACTGGCCCTTATTACGAATAAATCGTCAACAAAGGAAGTCATCTTGTCATTTCATGTAATGTCTAATAAATGAATTGATACAGCCATAAGGTGAGTCTGTTCGAAATATTTTCAGTAATAAAATGCCCTTTAAAATAACTAGATGACAGATTTCCCTACCCTTTCATGTACCTAAACATGTGAAATCTCTACCTTTTTATACACTTGAAGCCTGAAAAAGTTAACCCTTGCAGGCGTAGGTTCCCCGTATAGGCCATCATACGGAGTGCCCCCATCCCCTACACCGCACTGGCGATCCTGTTCAAAAATCGCTTGAAAAAAAATATAAAAATACCCCTTTATGCTCTAAAACACCTCGAGATGACCGCCAGTATTCGGGTAAACCAGTAAGTCTGAGCATCATTAATATTCGGCCGGCTATAGACCGTATGGAAGCCTTTGTACGTGTCATGAACCATTGAAGGGCGTTTACTGAAACTGTTATTGTACTAATAAGACCCGTTCAAGGAACCCCCATTGAGGTAATTTCAATAAAGTTTGTAACAAGTGTGATCACTGTAGTAATGTTTGCGTAGAACCACTAACTCCATAACACTGGTAGCTTAAGTAGTAGACAGTGTAAATTTTAGTAGCCATTACTTGAACTAAGGTTAAAATAAGGTCTCAAACTTATGGGGTTAATTAACCGTCAACCATCAAACGGTCTTGTTGAGGTAAATTCAATAAAGCCGGTTTCTAACAAGTACAAGCACCGTAGTCATGTTTGCATAGAGCCAGTAACTCGATAATAGTAGACAGTTTAAATTTTAATAAGAGCCATTAGTTGATCACTTAGTAGCTAAGGTTAAAAGAGTGTCTTAATGGGGTTAATCGTCAACCGTCAAATGGTCTGATAAGAAAAAAAAACCCGAACATTTAGCTGTCAACCGCGTTAAAAAGCTATAATTGTTAACAGATAACCTTCTAAGGTAGCCCCCCATTAAGACCATCTTAAAAGTTCTAGTTGAATTAAAATTTAAAACCAAAGCTTTCTAGACTCCTCCAGGTCCTTTTCAATGGAGTTATGACTAGACTCGACTTCGCGAACGGATCCTTTTCAAACAGTCAGGTTCGCAGCCAGGAATGACTGAGGCAATGCCCGTGAAAAAATTATGATTGAGGCAATGTCCACGGTTAAATTATCTTCCGAAATATTAAGGGTGTTTATTATGACTATATATAAACAGCAAAAAACGAAAACTCTGAGACGCATATAACCGCTAAAAAAACGAGACTGCGAGACCCGCAAAATTAGACGAAAATTTTGCGAGGCCCATGAATGGTTTTTGATGGACCATTCACCACCCTTGTTCTGGAATTCAGGAGCCTAAGGACTTCTCATTGAGGTAAATTCAATAAAGTTTCTAACAAGTACGAACACTATAGTCATGTTTGCGTAGAACCCGCCCACTATTTCGATAAGACTAGTAAGTTAAGTAAAAAATATTAGTATTCATTACTTGAATTAAGGTTCAAAGGAGGTCTCGGTCTTATGGGGTTAATTAACCGTCAACCATCAAACGGTCTTATTGAGGTAAATTCAGTAAAGCCGGTTTATAACAAGTGCGAGCACCGTAGTCATGTTTGCATAGAGCCACTAACTCGATAAGACTAGTAGCTTAAGTGGTAGTAGACAATGTAAATTTTAATAAGAGCCATTAGTTGATCACTTAGTAGCTAAGGTTAAAAGAGTGTCTTAATGGGGTTAATCGTCAACCGTCAAACGGTCTTAATGAAAAGAAAAAAAATTACCGAACATTTAACCGTCAACCGTGTTAAGAAGCTATATTTGTTAACAGTTAACCTTCGCAGGTAACCCTACATTAAGACCATCTTAAAAGTTTTAGTTGAATTAAAAGTTAAAACTAAAGCTTTCTAGACTCCTCCAGGTCCTTTTCAATGGAGTTAGAACATAGAATCGACTTCGAGAACGGATCCTTATCAAACAGGTTCGCAGCCAGAAATGACTGAGGCAATGTCCATGAAAAAATTATGATTGAGGCAATGTCCATGGCAAAATTATCTTCCTAGATATGAAGGGTGCTTATGATGACTATAAACAATAAAAACGAAAAAAAAAGAAAAAAAATGACTGAGGCAAGTGCCTAGGTTTGCTTATTACTTGTTTAAGATAGTTGAAGATACAACTGAGGCTCTGAGTTTCTGGGCGTTGAAATTAAACGCTGTTCAGCCATGTTCTTCTGCTATAGGTTTAGCCTGGTGCAGAGGCTCGATTTAATAGCAACCAGAAAAGCGGCGACGGAAAAATACTGAACTGTACTATTTTTTTATTTCGCCTTTTTTTGCGCTGCTGCCAACAAAGCTAACTCCTGAGACAGGCTAAGGTAGATTCCACACTCCATATAAAATTAAACAAAGTCGAACTACGCCGATCTTCGTAACTCCTGAACAGAGTAGTTTCGGGACAAATCAGACAACCATTCTCTTTTGCATGGATGCACGGGCCTTGATTCGTTATGACTGCGAGCTCATGCGTAAAATAAAATATTAGGATGTAAAGGAAATGAGGCAAACCAAATTTCTTTATGATTGTGAGGTTTAAATTAACTATGGCTTTGTCAACTTACAGACGCTAATTTCAACATAGGGGCATGAGTAAAGCACAGCAACTGCAACAGCGAAGAAAAACTGCGTTGAGGACGTCGCTGAAAGGAAAAGGTGTTTTTGAAAGAGCAGCGCGATAGTTTTGCACGTGCGTTATATATCTTGGTACGCTTCGTTTCCGTTTCCTGCAGACAACAACGTGCATAATATCAAGTTCTGCTTATTTAGCCGACAACGCATAACACGATGCGGCTAAGTATATATCTCTATTTCTACCGACACATTTGAATAGTACTAGAAAATGTCAAATTCTAAAGTATTTACGGAAATAGGCAGTACATCTCATCGACGCTTCCCTGTATCACCGTTGTGTTTTATCTCATTAGTGGTCAAAGTATAAGAAGAACATCTTTGAAACTAATAGAGTCCTCTTCGAAGATCGAGCAAACGTGAAGTCTTCAGTCTTCTCAGTGTGGATATGTGTTCAAAGTGAGAGTGAAAGAAATGAAATGCTATGGTTAGAGCTTGGCAGGGGTTCCTTGTTTGAGATGCACAAGTAAGACTTCAAAAACCTTGGTAGAAATGATTACGCATGTGATAAATTTGAAGGTGACGAAACAGTAGTCAAGTTTTGCAAGAATTATTGGTGACCCATGAAATTCTTCACGAGCTAAAATGTTTAATGATTACACCTGCGCCCGAAGAAGTCTTAACCTTTAAATGGTACACTAATTAACGAGTAAACAAACTTGACGGAGTCAATCAAATTCTGTTCATTTTTGTACCGCACCCAAGTGTTTGGAACAGGTACTGGAAGTAGCCATTAAAACTATATGAGTGAACGTTTGTTATTAATAAAAATAATACGGAACACAGAACGAAAAAGTTTATCCAGTTTTAAATGAATTCAGTAATGCCCTAAACACGACGATCTCAAAGAGCTTCTAGCACTTAACAGGTCTGGTAACCATGCAATGTAAAATTATAGCACAAGCATTTTAACAACGGAATTATTCACTGATGTCGTAGACAGGTTCGGGGTCATTCGGTCGCGCACCTGAAAAAGAATATTTTATCACCGAAATAAAAGTCGAAGCGAGTGGCGCTAGGTCACAGTAGTTTTCGGTTGTTCTTGCGGTAAAATGTCTCGTTTTTTTGTTTTGCTGATTTGTGTGATAGCAGTTGTAGTACAAGGAAGGCCGCGGCTACATCACAAGCACAAACAAGGTACGTATATATTTCAAAGAAACACATATTCACAATCGAGAAGTGTAAAATTCATTGACAAAATCGCACATGAGACTCACATAGAAGAGTTTTGTATATAGCTGTTTCTTAAAGCAACAAGTGTTAATTACATTTTTTGTGTTGGTTTGTGTGAAAGCCTGAGCTTTAAAAAAAAACTGTCATTGACTAAATACACGAGTACTTCCAATCTAGGATAAGATGAACGGGCAAGAGTTATTTAAAAGGCTTGAAAACAGCAGGACGTTCGGGGCGTCAAATTGAGAAAACTTCATTCCACACTAAAAAAGTGTCTCCAATTATATAAAGAATGAAATTCCAATTGCTTATTGAATGGCTCTGGGCTAAGTAGGGACGATTTTCCTCCGTGTCTTGACAGAGAGACTTGTTTATATTTCCATTGTTCAGACAAAGACAGTACATAATCAGTTGTGTCTTCAGTCAAAAGGCCATAAATTTTAATAGAGCGAAACTTTTTTCCTGTCAAACACTCAGCAAATATGTCACAATGGTGGCAGTACAGAAAGAAGAGATAAACGAGGGCATTATTAGTTTCTGACATTATTAGTTCATTTTCATGGTCTTCAGCCGGAGAACATTGTTCATTGATTCATTTCAAGCAGGCGTCGCCACCTGTTGGCCTTCTTCCTTTGTTCTCACACATAAGAAGTACCTCTGCCATCTAAATATATTCTTGTCACGAGTTCAGTGGATCCACTTTATTAACTAATAGGTCGAGAGAAAAAGCCTTGTACTTGGCCTACCCTGGCTGCTCAAAGGGGTATTATCTGATTTATTACTTAAAGTACTTATTTAAATTATTACTAAAACGTAAACAGGAAAGAAACGCGCGAGAGAGCGGATGTAATCTTGGTTAACAGTTTAGACTTGGAATAGCACTCATAGATTTTCAACAACACAGCCAAGGGTTTGACACTCTTCTGAATTTGAATAGACTGAATTTGAATTGGAAAGACTTTGCTCGGAGTCAGTTGCGATTTGGAGTTTAATCAACCATTAAACTTTGACTGCATGATTCAGCTCGGTTCCTCACATGTATCTGTGGAGGCGCGTCGGCCTCATGGTTAGTGCGCTCGACTTCGGATCGAGCGGTCCGGGTTCGAGCCTTGGCTGGGGACTTACATTGTAGTGTGTTCTTGGGTAGGACATTTTACTCTGAGAGTACCTCTCTCTACCCAGGCCTAGGTGACAAACGGGTACCGGCGATTTTAATTGGGGGGGAGGACTGGCGATGGTCTAGCATCCCATCCAGGAGGGCAGGAGGGGGGGGGGGGGNAGTGTATCAGTGATCTCATTTGTGTTCTTTGTAAGCTGTGTTTTTTGGGCAAGGGAAGGCGCGTCCCATCCAGGGGGGAGTAGAAATACTCGTAGTCGCTTCATGTTACGAAAACCAGAGATACAGTAAGCTCCAGCCTGATGGGCCACTTGGCTTGTATGTAGACCTAACCCTCACATGCATTTCCCTACAGCTCATGTACAGAACCCAGGAAGTGAGGATCCGCGGGCACATCGGAGGCAGCCCGCAGATCACCATCCACTTTCCGATGCTCCAGCAGGCCCACAGGATTTGAGCATTTTCGACGTTAACGTGCATAAAATGGCAGACGAGAACAAGGTGTCTGGTCACATTGCTCCGCACAGTGTAGCTGTGTCCATGCAAGGTCCTGGTACGGTATCTCTGAGCACCACTGAGCAGGTGGTAGGACCAAGTGAAGCCAAACCAGACCATACCGTTAGCATGGTGAAGGACACTGGAGGCTGCAACGGTCCCGAATGCAGCATGGTCAATGTTAAATCAGGTAAACAAAAAAATACTTTTTCACACTTGGTGCCCAATGTGGACACACCGGCTTTTTTCTTAGTACTGATCACATGCACAAGAATTCGGGCACAGTGCCCGTGCCCGGGTACAAGATCTTGACTTTGTACCCAGGCACTAAATGGTATTTGGGTACTTGGAGTACCCAGTGTTTGAACACAACACTAATTTTGTGCCGGTGCCCGGGCGCCAGTGTTTGGGCACCAAGTATAAACACAGCCATCGCTGTCTTTTCTTTTTGAACTTCGTGAGAGCCACACTGTACTTTCTACCTAACACTAAGAAGTTTAATTCATCAACCATTGCATCTCCATGCTCTGCTTAAAATGCTCTCTTCTCCATTCTTGGTACTTGAAGGCAATTTTCCCTGACAACACCTTTATTTGTATCCAAGACTATGCTGCATCTAGTTGGTAGTTTTACTTAGTCTCATCACATTTCAACTAGCAAAATTTACTGATATTGTGGGAAGACAATAAATCTCGATCACTATTGCAATTTATGCCGTAAGCATCACATTAACATTTACTGTATTTTTTGTTCCATGAGACTACTTAGACTAATTGAAAGCTTTTTGTCTTTCCTCAAGGTCACCAACTTCCCATGGCCCTTCCGCTAACAGGGCCATCAACACCCATACAGGAACCAAAAGAGGTGAAACCCCATGATCTGAAACCTCTAGCTCAAGCCTCAAAAGAACCAGCTAAACTTCACGGACATGCTGCCGCTGATCATGGAAAGATGGGCCATGTTGTTGTACACAATCAAGTGAACAAGAAGCAGGCTAACGAAATAATTAATGGTCTAGAGACCAATATACCTGTTGCGGCCCATAAACCAAAATGTGAGTAGAAATTTGAAGAATGTTTTTCAAAATTCGTGCCTTCAGCTGATATTTTGAACCATTTTTTTCTGTTCAAGACGAGCATCCGTCCTTGGAAGAGAATGTGAAAGTGCATGCAGCCGCTGAACGTTCTGATCACGGAGTAGTCAGCCATGCTCATAGTCACATGACCAAGGAACACGCTAACGACATGATAACAGGTGTACAGAACGGTGTACCTGTAGTAACCCATAAACCAAAAAGTGAGTGGCAATTAAAAAGATGTATTTGAAATTTAAATTCTTTCAGTTGCTATCTTGAATTATTCTATTTTTCTTTTTAATGTATTATTAACTAAAACTTATGACTGTTCCAACTTGCCAAATATAAAGAAAAACGGTGATAAATAATAACATGTGTTTAAAGCTGTGTTCAAATATTCGGTAAATAATGGTAAACCACAATGGAGCAAGTCTAACAAAGACCAATTTCCTGCGACGATATCAACAGCGCCTCAAGTGCCTTTCATCAATGACAACAGTATTCTGTGGATTTTACTGACTTAAAAAACTTATGCACGTTGCTTTGTGCATGATTAAAGATAATTAGAGAACTTAGAATACCAGCTCTTGATGAGTCATGCCTGCCCTACTAAAATACAGTTTCTCACTTGGTGCAGTCTCAAAGAAATCTATTGCAACGAAAACAATTTATTCCATCCAAAAGCGAGCTGGGTACAAGTAGAGTCAGAGTTGGGTAACGTTGTGTAAACAGTGATGTTTTCATCAACATTTGGGACAAACGATTCTAAAGTACCCAGTGACATTTTGAAAAGAGGAGTTGGACAGGGTACAAATATAGTTTTGTTGAGATATTTCTATTTTAGTTTCAAGTAACCTCTATGGTTGACTCTGGAGGGTCAGGGAATGATGCTGTAATGATCTTTTCATCATGTTATCCTATTATACAGAGGATGTACAAGTTAACAATGGCCATAAGGTCTTCATAGGCAACCCAGGCAGTCCGCAGAAGGTGTTTGGACAAATGGACTCCAATAATGTGGGCGTTACATCGCAAGGACAAGGTACAGTGACTGTGACGTCACAATTTGACATTCCACAGCTTAGCCAAACTGTCGTTTTCGATCCCATGGAACCATGCTCCGGGCCGTCATGTCCGCCAGGCACTGCAAAGGAAAAAAAGGGTGGAAAGCACCATTAATAAATTCCGGTAAGGAATTGAAGGTTTTAATTAGAAGTTTCCCAATTAATCAGTATGCATTTCCTTCAATGTTAGTTCCGAAAATTTGCTGATACATAGAGACAACACCATCTGCAACAGGCGAATCTTTGCTGACGTCATTGTTTACATTTTTGCTCATGATTAAAACTTACGACTTTGCGTACACAAATTGACTACCAATATAGCTTGTGAAACTTAGTAATTGGTGAAACTCTTGACTCTTTGAGTGTAATATTCGACGGGAAATTTGCTTCGAAAACTGTAAAATTTCTGGGTAGTAAAAGCGCCAATGATCTCATACATTCCTTGTTACAAAAAATACTCCATACATCGGGCTCAAATTCATTGGCACAGTTAATCATGCTGTACCCTTTCGCTATTGAGAGTTAATGTTTTTATGATTCCATCAGAAACTGCATCGCTTATCCTAATGAGGAAAATATTGTAAACAAAGATTCTCCTGTAACGGGGTAGTATGATCTTGACAATTGCTGGTTGAGGGTATTTATCATGCTTCAAAAGAGGACATCCTCTTTTTTGCGTCATAAGTTCCGGGTGAGTCGTACCTAGACTTCCCCACACTACATAAGTGAGAAAAGATGGAGGTACAACATTACGCCCGACTTAAATGCTTTCCTCCACTTGCATCACCAGGCGAACTTACGGCTATTATCTAATTGCTATTTTTTTTTTAATTTTCCTTCTTCACGCAGACAGAAGCCGGTTTTACAGTGGTTTGACCAAACAGGACATTCACCAAGAAAGAAAAAAAAGAAGAATTACTAAATTAAACCTGAGAGACACACTCAGTGAAGGATAAAATAAGAAGATATTTGAGTTCTGCCAATTTACTCACATTATTTTATTGCAAACATCATCGCTTAACCCTTAATGCAAAAAGCTCGGCCTGACGGGCGGTTTTTCTCGCGAGATGAAAGATTAATAGTGGAGAAAAAGCAAGTAATCCAGTCTTAAGTCATTTCCTGTCCTGTCCTCTCGTGAACGTCCCAGTCTTATCCTATCCCGTCCCGTTCCGACCCGACCCGTCCCGATCCGACCCGTCCTGTCCTGTCCCGTCCTCTCTTGCTCCTCCCTGTCTTGTTCTGTCCTGTCCCGCCCTGCCCTGTCCTGATCTGTTCTCTGCTCCATCTTCTCTCTACTTCACTACTTCGCCACCCATTTTCAAGCTTTCTTTGACCACTAGTTATCTTGCAATCGCGAAAGAAATGCCTCCAGTTATGTCGTTTATAAATGTAAGTCATGAAATTTTTTCACCCAAAGTGGGTTTTGCCTAATAAAGGTCTTAAACTTAAAACACCAACGTGTTCTATTTCTAAGGAAAAGAAAAGCTGTTATGTCGTTGTTTGAGATCCATCTCTGAAGTTTTGGTTTGGACTATTGTTCAAACTAATCCGCCACGAAAACGGAGCTTTTCAAAAACGCTTCTCAAATCGTAGGAATTTGGACACGCCAGCTTTTCGTTTCCGTGTGGACGTAAAACAATTTGAAAACGGGGCTTTTTGAAAACAATATAGTCACGATAATCATGGGACTTTCCTGATCGAGTTTTCCTCGACTGGCACAAATCTAAAGTGACTGGTGATTGGTGCGTTTCTAAATTCCTTCGGTGTATTGTGGATGGGGACTTCGGTATTCTGTCGATTCCGTATTTGACCACTGCCACTGCATATCAATTGCTGTCTATCTTTAACAACAGGCTCGTTTAGCATCTTCTCGTCTCTCCTCCATATCGGTATCAAGTCGCCTATCGTAGGGAGCGCTTGATTTGAGAAGTTCCCATAGCGGTGGTCTTTGATCCTGAATACTGAAATTTGTTCATATCATGCAGACTGTTAAATATCATGATCGATGTTTTCCTGATTGCTAAATACTAATATTGTTGAAAAAAGCAAACTAAATGATCAGCTTTTGACTTTATTCTTTCTTTGCGCCATGTAAAAGATTCGGACAAACCAGTTCAATATTTACACTGGCAGCTATAATTATTTGTTAACGGTCTGATAATCTATCATATCCCAACGACCGTCTTTCTATCCTCTGGAAAATACCAAAACTTTAAAGTTTTGCTACACTAGCTATAAAGCACAATAATGTCAGGAACATGCAAGAAAACTTAAAGAAAGGTAGTTTCTTGGTATTGTGGATGGAATGATCAGCAATTGACGTACAACGAGACTCAAAAAAATAAACAGTAACATCGCAACACCAACATTCAGCGTTAGCAACACGTCAAAGACCAAAGCATTTACTTTTAAGCTAGAGGGAGGTTGCGCGCTCGTTGTTCTGTCATGTCCTTGCCGAGGAAGATGAGGGGGTCTGGTGGCGCTATGCATGTAGCATTGAGGAGAATCCGTGTAACCCTACCGAGGTAGACAAAATTGTTTTTTGGTAGTAAAAGTTATAATCAAGGAACAACTATTGAAAGCGGAGGACCAAACAACGCACAAAGGCATGTTTGTTTCCAGATCTTTCGTTTCCCAGCTGCTCGTAGCAGAGGTCGCTTGAGGTCGTGACTAAAAAAAAGTGCTTGCAAAACTCCCACTGTGGAAAAGTTAAGGTAATATTTAGTGGACAATATTTTAATTAGCAGAGCTAGTCTTCAGTGACCTTGCGGGAGATCCAGACTAAAACTCTCTCAGTTGAAATATTGGCCAATAAATCCGTTTTTTCCTTTTTCCGTTGCTTTGCAATCAATCTGTCATCGCGATGTTTTAAAGCTGTATCTCAGATGAGATGAATCCTGGCTGCTCTGCTCGTGAGGATTAGGCATACGACAATAAATTAGGTGAAGATTACCCAGATTCGTTAAATAATGAAATGAATCAATGAAACGAGCCACCGTAAATAAATTCGACGTCACGTGACCATAGAACTGTCGCAACGGAACGCGGGGACCGAAGTGTCTAAAAATGCGACTTTTATTTCATGACCGGGTAATACCCGAGTTATTCATATTGCTGATTTGTTTTGTATTAAGCAAAGGAGAAAGGCACGTTCACAAGAAGGACGGTAAGTTTTGAGATTTTTATCTACTATGTTTAATCAAAATATTTTTTCCAAACATGACAATGTTACAGAATGGGAAATTTAATCAAGTTCTTGACTATATTTTGGTTGTTTCGTTGTTGTTATTTTCCAATGCGTTTTATCTATGAGCAAATTTAGTGCACTAGAGAATTTTCCATGGCGTTGAAACAGGTGGTGTAGTTTTATGTTCATGAGACATCGCTGATAAAAGAACGATACTTAGAGAAGGCAATTGAAGTCTAATTGATTGCTTTGTAAACGAAAGTTACCCATGTCTAACAAGTCTGTTATTACATTTCATAACTCAATAGTAATTAATCGCTTCTATTATCTAGAAGTGGATTAACGAGCCTCGAGGTCGTCATGAGGGAATTCCTGACGATTTTAACAATTTTACGATTTGATCATTTGTAGTTTGCTACGGTTCTCCTTACCACCTGTTGAGCTAACATTTCTTGTCAACCTACCTGCTACAATACAAAATGTTGTTTGCTGATCAAATGATTATACTGCAGATATTTCAAAGGAAAGCAAGTCAACATTTATCACCATCAGAATTCCTGCAAATGTGGCAACACATAATCAAGGTAAAGAATGCTCTTTTTATTTCATTTCTTTTTGTAATTTTGTAAATTATAGGATGGTATATGTAGGACTCTTATTTAGTTATGTAAATCAACTCCCACTGGCAGGAATTGCACTTTCTTTCAGACTGGTGTGTAGTTCACGGATTTGATTCAAGCTGGAAGATTTCGAGTGTCTTACTGATAAAAATTCTTTCTCATATTTCCGCTGAACGTTACATAAAATGTCATCCGTTCCCGATAGTTTGTTGTTATTTGTACCTTCGGATCAAAATCATTTCAAAGTACATTTGCTTGATACTGTAATAATTTGAATTGATATTATACTCTCTTGCGTCCACGCAATTCACACAGATTGTATGTATGAAGGAGTGGTCCGCCATCACGGCGATGCCTGGTCTCCAGGACCCTGTATTCCCGAATGTCGATGTAAGCACGGGCACGTGAAATGCTCCAAACTAGAATGCCCGGATTTGAATTGCGATAAGCCTATCAAGAGGAAGTGGAAATGCTGCCCAGAGTGTTTACCGGGAATGGAAAACGGTTAGTACTATCAGTATCTGGGCTGGGTTGTTCAAAGCCCGATTAAGCTAACCAGGATTAACGAGAAGTTTGATTTCATTTTTGTAGCCTTTCAGCAAGGTGTTCTGTTTATATTTTTTGCCCTTCAGTTTTTAGCACGAGTAATCTCAAACTACACAAAACATAAGCGGTGGATAACATTTTTATAGAAGAAAAATTGTTACCCCGGTTAACTTTTAATCCTGGGTTAGCGTTAACCAGCTTTTGAACAACCCAGCCCACCACTGAGTCCAAGTGACATGAATTTTCTGTTGCCACACTCATCTCTTGTTATGTACGTTCTGAAGATTTTGGTAGTATAACAACACCACCCATGCCCTCTCTCCTCTGTAAAGGTTCGTAACGTTCGTTATAGAAAGCCGTTTTGTTAGGTGAGTGCAGGCGCAAACCATGCGCTTGCACTTGCACTATCGTTCAGCGAATTCTCCCCACCCAGAAAAATCCTTTTGAACCTTTGCAAAGGAGAGAGACCCGTGCCCATGATTAGTTTTCTTTATTTTTCTCAATATTTGATAAATGTTTTGACATTGCGAGGAAACATTATCAAAAGGTTACTGCACAATTATGATCACGAATGAGTTTCTTAATTTGCTTTCACGGCCTGCCGTTCCATCGTTCCACAGTTCCAAAGTTTCTGTCTGGCCACTACTGAGTTGTTCTCATATTACTATTTCTTTTGTTTAGGAACCTCATGCGGCGTAAGGACCAAGGACGGAAACGCTTATGGCGGTTGCTGTGTGTTTCCTTTTAAATACAATGGCGTGATGCACTATACGTGCACCTATCTGGACCACAATATGCCATGGTGTTCAATCACAATGAATTATGACCGGGATGGAGTCTGGGGAGAATGTATAGGTACATATAGTAACGGCGACGCACCGCCGACATTCTTTTCTTAGTTTAGCGTATTTGTAAGATGTTAAGTGCACTAGGAGCATCTAAGACAATTTTTGATGAAAAAAAGTAAGCAGACTTAGTGTCCTGTATTCATTTAATTCCACAACGACGGTTGTGTGTTTTATCAAGGTTAGAAAATCTGCTTGTCAGTATGGCGATATGGCCAGACTTGCAAGCGGCGTTTATTAGTTTTATCTCAAGAACTAGGTACTGGAAATGAACTTGGTGATCATTCTCATTGAAAGACAGACGGAAAGATGAGGGTGGCAAAATACGTAAGAGAATATAACATCCGAGGACAAAGTTGGAACACAGACAGAAAATAGACGTCCGCACTTTGGTAGTCAGCTAATGGTTAGCGGGTCGTCAAAAGTTCAAGCGCAGCGGACGGTTAATTTCCTATTTTATAGTGAAATCTCACAGAGCCATATTTCTATCGAAAGATGTACGATGGAGTACCGGCGGATAACTTAACTACATGTTCAGAAAAGCTTCGAAACCAGGACATCAGCGCCGGCTGTTTTAAAGGAACATATATAATCGATTATAATGCACTGAATCTCTATATACTTTCGTTTAATATAGATAACGGTGATTCAGAAAAGACATTAAGATTCAAACATCACAGAGGGAAAGCAAAGCACAAAATTCATCACCAAGACAACACAGAGGCTCTGGTGTCCAACATAGCAAACAAAGTGGCAAACGGTCTTGCGAACGAAACGGCCCAGCCGACAACAAACATTACCAGCCTCATTCCAACAGCACCGGAGCCAAGTGTGCAGTATGGTAACGCTACAGAACTGTTACCGGCACCTACAGCATCAGCGACAACACCAAACGCTGCTTCCAGTGTCCAGCCTTCAGCAACCGAAGTCGTACCAGTTGCATCGTCACCATCATCAAACGCTAGTGCAGGTGTCAGTTCCCAAGCTGTTCAACCATCACCCGCAACGTCACCTCAACCACAAGCAACCAGTTCAGGAGGAATTCCCTATGCCAATGCAACGGGATTAGTCCCTGCAGCAACTTCAATACCATCTCCGTCTCCGAGTGCTGGAGTCCCTGTGGTGCCTATTGCTTCTGTTGTTCCATCAGCCAGCGGTCAGACTACCCCAATGTTAGAGACGTCAGTAGCTGTAGCACCAACTTCTCAGCCGACAGCTACCCAGCCAGCTCCTCAGCCAGGACAGGTAAAAGGAAAAGAGTTTCTCAAGAATATGCTGTTTAGTTACAGTTTTTATGGGAAATAGAAGAAAACGTCCATCCTAGCTATTTTAAAGTGCGAATAAGTACGATCCTTCTTCGTGTTTTTCACTCCCATAAAATAATCAACACAAACAGTAAAGGGAGAGAGACATTTTCTTCGTACCTAAACTGGTTTCTTCTGAATTTCGATCTATATCTTCTATTTGATTCTCGAATTTCTGAAAACCCTAATTCCTGCCGTTACTTAGTCTCTTTTATTTGTCGTTGTAAATTACCGCACCAAGACCTATTTGGTAAGAAATCTTATATTGAGAGAGAGTTTTGATTTCTTAACAACTGTTGTAATCTTAAAGTCTGTAGTGTCAGGACAAGGAGCTGTACCGACTCCATCCCTTGTAGCAACAGTCACCGGTGGCACCATACCCTTATCACCTGCACCGGTACCACTGGTAACCCAGGAACTGGTACCACAGCCAACCCAACAACCGGCTCCACAGCCGACCCAGCAACCGGCTCCAGAGCCGGCCCCTGCACCAAGTCCACCAGCTGTGGAAGGCGGAATTCCCGGGTACCCTTTTCCGATATCTCAGACAACTCTTAACCCAGGGCAGACTCAGGCTCCAGGTCCGCAACCCGGTCAAGCTGTTCATGAACTGACGACAACAGAGATGAATGTCAACCACAATATTACTACTACAGAGTACTGGTTTGGCAAGGCTAACGAGACTCTAAATAGAACCAATGGTAATGTAAAAATAATAAATAATAAATTACAACATTAGAGAGGAAGC